TGAGTCACCAAGTCCTTGAAGGATGGCCTCCTTTAATGTATCCTTCCCATCCTATAGGTCTACAGGATGGGACACATCCTGTACATTCATCTTTGGAAACTGGACCAGGGGGTTGATCATGGAAATGGCTCTGTGTTTCTTCGAGATCCGTAAAGAGCTTTGGCTGGCATCCAGAGAAAAGGAGCTTCGCAGCAGAGCAGAAAGGACTCCGTAGCCCACTCTGCTGCCACATTTTCTTACACTCCCCATTTCATGATCAGTTGATCATGGAAATGGCTCTGTGTTTCTTCGAGATCCGTAAAGAGCTTTGGCTGGCATCCAGAGAAAAGGAGCTTCGCAGCAGAGCAGAAAGGACTCCGTAGCCCACTCTGCTGCCACATTTTCTTACACTCCCCATTTCATGATCATCCCTGCAGGGCAAAGGTGGAATTCAGAGGTGGAGGGACTAGGATTAGCTGTTCCATCTCAGGACTAATCATCTCCCACCACATCTCACCAAGCAGCTGCAAGCTTCCTTTTTTTAACAGGTCAAAGAGACAAAAAAAAGTGATCAACCCACTGAGGGCTTAGTCTAGAATGTGAACTGGGGTCGTTTCAGCCCCTGCTGGTGTCTCTTTTGGGGAGAAGAGGGGACCTGGCCCTTTTCACCTGGAACCTCAAGGTTGCCGCTCCTGGCTCGGGCAGAGGTGCTGGCAACGAAGCCACTGCAGCGAGGAGACAGGGACAAATTCTGTTGACAGAGCAGGTGCCGCATTCGGACCTCGCCTCCTTCTCTCATGGCTGGTTTGGTTCTGCAGACCTAGCAGAAGTAATGGGCAAGAAAGACTTAATCATCCACAAAAGTCTTTCCTCGGGACCTTGACTCTGAGTCTTTTCTGAGACAAATAATTGCTGCAGAAAATCCATCCCCAGCCTGATCCTCAGAAAAGTCATTAGCTGTTATGGCACCCGGGGCACGGGGCACCGCCAGTGCTGTTCCCAACCCCCCACGTGCTCAGCCCTCCGGTGTGGTGGCCATGGGCCACCACCAAAGGAAGAGGAAGAGGTGCCATGTGGAGTTAAAGAAAGAAAGAGCAAGTTTGTGCTTTTCCAAAAAGAAAGAAAGAGGAAAGGAAAGGGGAGAGGGGCAAATGTCCTGTTTTCTTTCCGAACATTCAGTAGGAGGTTCGCCTGTGCCTTTAGGTGAACGTCCACTTTTGGTGAGCTAGGGAAAAACCCCAGGTGCTCTGCTGTAGTTACAGCCCTGATGACCACATCAGTCATGACTTCTGAGAGAGAGAGAGAAAGAGGGGTGTGGGGTGTGTGTAGGGTGTTTGGGGAGGTGAATAATGGCGTGTCAGGAACAGGGATGTAGGCAACTCTTTGGGCCCAAGCTCCAGGTGAGAGTCCCAATTAAAAACAAACCTTCTACCCCGCATCCCACAAAAAAGGGAAGGGGGGGGTCCAAGTTGTGAGTTGAGTCCAACTCATTGAAGAAAAAAAACACCCCGAGTCCAGTTCAAGTGGAATGACCAGCTTGACTTGACCACGAAGCTCGTGACTCACATCCCCATCCTGGGTCAGGACCGGTGGGTTTCTAGCTGTGGCCCTCACTCTCCCTCTCCTCTTCATAATGAGCTTTTTGTGAAGGCTCTTCACTAAACCGCCCCCAGTTAAAATCTTTGTGTACAAGAATCAAAAATGCTTGGGGCTGATGTTTAACATTAACTTTTACTTCATGGTGAGCTTTGGAGGGTCACACGCTGCCTCCTCAGACACGTGAGGAAGTACAAAAAGTTGTCATCGGTTGACAGCTTTGATTATGATAACAATGAAAATGTCATGTTGGCTGGAGGGCAACGTACATTTCTGAGATAAAAGGGACCCTTGTTTTCAATTTCTGAGCCCGTTTCTTCCCCTCACTGGTTCCTTCTTCTGCTTTAGGGAACGTTACGGGGTAGGCAAGCCAGGCAGCTGTTTTGCCACCTCATCAGGTACACAAAGTCACTGGACCCAGGCCCACCTGGCTTTCAACCTGACCATGGAATTGACGCTGATTGTGGTATTTAATGACTGTGGGCCATATGGACCCAGTCCAAAGATTGATGCAAGAATCTGCAAACTGTTAAGAAATTTCAGTTGGCTTGTAAATCCTCACTGGTCTTATTCTTATGCACAAGAGTGAGAAAAAAAGACTAAAGTTTTAATCCTCTCCTGCCAGGTGATGATATCTGTTCTGCTGGTTTCAGCAGCAGCTCGTGCCTTTGCAAAAACAACTTTTTGTGAAAACAACTTTTTTTTGCAAAAACAACTTTTTGCGAAAACGTTTTCACAAAATGCCTGAATCGTGTAAGTTGTGCAAAACCATGATAGCTGCACCCCTCCTCCTGTGGACTTTCATGATGTGCTATTTGCTTCTTTTCCAACGAGCCGTTCATCCTGAGAGTGTAGCCTTTGCTTCCCAGAAAAGGCACAAACTTTGCTCAGAGACGTTTTGTGCAAACCAAAGAAAGCTCAGCCCTCAAAGTGCTCCTTGTCTGGTTCTTGCTCTGGAGGAGAGACGTCTCACAGGGAGTCAACACTTCCATGACAAGCTGTCTCATCGTACCCCTCGTCTGTATACCAGTTCTTGAGGACATAAAGAAGACACTGCACATAAGGGTCTTTGCGCCGGAGTGGATGGGCAAACACACCCATTTTGGGGACTTTAAGCGCATACTGCAGTGTGACTGAGCATAGCTTAGAGCCCTGCATCGCAGCACTGGCTATGTCGTTAATGCGGACTTAAAATACTGGTTCCACCTTATTTATCTGCCTAATGACAAATGACATTCATATCTTGGCTAATGATAGGTTTCATCCCAATCATTGCAAAGCGCTCCATCAGAAGCTGGAAAAGGTCCTTGGACAAAAGTCATTTTAAACATTTTACCCATGTTTGCAAATGACTTTAAAAAGTTTATCAAGCATTGAAAAATGATAATGAAAAAAAAGAGAGATAATGAATGTGGAAACGATGCTCCGCTGGTGTTTAATTTCAGCTAGGACAACTTGCTTAACCACCCCTGTCTTATGAGGGACCAGGGAATTCATGAATGGGGATGGACAGAGAAGAGGCTGCTAAAGCTGAGCCGTCCGTGCAGGTTCCCTGAAGGACTCGCCGGGAGTGTTTGTTGACTCAAGGTGAATGCACCGACTTTTCCTATGTGTGGAACTAAAAGAAAACAAGAAGGATTTTGACCACAGAGTCTCTGGAGTGGTCCAAATGTGATCCAGGGTAATGCCAGGGATTGGGCAAGTCAAAAACCAGGATCCTCTGAATTATGCACATGTTCGGAGACCTTTCATCTATTCCCATCTTGCACACTGTACTGCCAAACTTTGGTACTGAAAACAGGTGCCACAGCTAAGGTCCAAGACAAATCAAGACCTGTTTTGGGGTCAGGGGTATGAGGATAGATGAAAGGGGGGAAAAGACAGCACAGAAAGTGAAGGTCCTGGGAAGTGTCCAGACACACCACTCCTGCAAGAGGCAGCTTAGTCTAATGGTTAGAATGTCCATGGATCTCACAAAGGAACCTGTCACTCTCTCTCAGGCTCCCTGCCTCGCACAATGTTCTGGCAATAAAACTGAAGGGAAAGAAAGGAGGCACGTAAACCGCAGGTAGGAAGCTGAAAAGCTCTCCAGGTGCTGGAGAGGACAGATTGCTGGGCCATGATGCTAACTGTGTGGAGCTGCTTGAAGAAAGAGGGAACAAAACGTGGCAATGCATAAAGGGACAGATTGGGGTTGTGGCAAAATGAGGGACAGAGATCTTGACCTCCCTCCATGATGCAGAACTCCACGCAAGAAGTTCTTGGGCACAAACGTCCTTGAAATGAATAGGATCTCAGAAAGGAAATCAGATTTCCCTTCTGCTGAAACAGCTTGTCCTGGAAGAACAAAACCCAGTTATGGGATACCATGAAATTAAACCTATTGAAGGGATAAAGCATGTTCCGTCAACACTCAGTTTTCTGGATTCCATGGGTCTCTTCTAGTTAGAACTGACCATTTAGGTTTAACCTAAATGTTTTGTTTCCATGTATTTTGTCAATGTCTAGATTGACCCTTAAATAACACTCTGATATACTATTGGGCAGTCATCTACAGGCTTTCTGGCCTTGATGGGGTAGTCGTTGTGGGAGAATTATTAATTTCTTGGAGGATTTTTATATTTCTATATCTATTCATTGATTTTTATATATTTCTCGGATGCCTTCAGCCTTACAACCCTCCATTCACTACNGGGGGGGGGGGAATTGAAATAATGTATAGGGTCACTGATTAAAATGGAACAGTAAATCCTCTGAAGGAGTTGTGTGTTTTTTTTAATGCTAGAAATAAAAAATGAAGTAGAATACAAATGTAACATCTGAGAGTTAAGGAATTGCATCTAAACTCCCAGACAGAACTTGGAAAAGCCCCCTTAACTTTTCCAAGTTGCATAAGCAGGGGGCTGCCCCAGAAAAGACTCTGCCCTCCAGTGCCACCACACTAACCCCGCCTAGTGGTGTTGGTGGGGTTTTTTTTAATGCTAGAAATAAAAAATGAAGTAGAATACAAATGTAACATCTGAGAGTTAAGGAATTGCATCTAAACTCCCAGACAGAACTTGGAAAAGCCCCCTTAACTTTTCCAAGTTGCATAAGCAGGGGGCTGCCCCAGAAAAGACTCTGCCCTCCAGTGCCACCACACTAACCCCGCCTAGTGGTGTTGGTGGGCTTTGAATAAGTGTCTTAAATGGTGGGCAAGTGGCAGGGGCCAAGCATCTTTAACTGGACCCGGAAGGAAAATCAAAGCCAAAGGAATTGATGTAGGAGCCATGTCACTAGATCTCTGAAATGAAAGCACTCTATTTGTAACATCTGTTGAACAGCTCCCTTGCCCCGTTTCCCTGACCCTGGACACGTGAGGCATCAATCAGCAGGTTTGTACAGCATTTGCAAAAAGGAGTGTCACCTCTTCTCATTTTTTGCAGACAGCAGTGACAGTGAGTTAGAACTCTCGACCATCCGGCATCAGCCAGAAGGCTTGGACCAGCTCCAGCTTCTGACCAAATTTACCAAGAAGGAGCTTCAGTCCCTCTACAGAGGCTTCAAGAATGTGAGTTTAATCCTCCTACCCGCTTTTTATGTCTTGACAGAAAATTCCCATACTTTGTCATGCCAGAGGAGTGGGTGTGGTTTCGTGGCCCCTGTGGCTCAGAATAAGGTTGGATGTTGGTTTTTTCCAGTAACTGGTTTGTTGGGATGGGGCCTTCCTTACTGCACTCTCCTTGGGAGTCTGGCTAAGAGGACCCTCACACTGAACATCGGAACGATGGCATTCATTCTTCTGCAGCAGCCAAGACATCAGCTGGTTTTGCTTCTGCATGATCTGGCTTGCAAGAAACCACCTTCGCATTGAATGCTACAGATCTTTACTCATCGTTTCCTGCAATACTCAGTTCTTGGACGCTGTTGAAATAGCTATTCCTGACTTCAGCATTTCCTCCATTCTTTTCATTCCATTTCTCGGTACCGCAGCTCCTCGGCCTCTCTTTAGAAATCATCCCCGAATGGATCGATGAATCAGCCATCGTTGCTTTTAGAGAGGCTCTTTCATGTTCCAGATTCTTTAGTACTGCTGAGTGGATAACGTTTGGACCCCCCGTCTCCTCTCGGCGCATCAAGTAGGAATCCTGCTGCAGTGTCTGCCTGCACGAGATGCAGATTGCTTTGGATGAGTTAGGGCAACAAGTCATTGATTCAAAGTCCAAAGCTAGCCTTCTTTTAAGTTGACAAATGAGGCACTGTGACCCAACTCCATTCGCCAAGAGAGAAGATTCTGCACAAGGCCATTTTCGGGTGGGTGGAAGACATGGTGGCAAACGAAATGCCAGCTGGGAACATGTCCTTGTGTCTTTGGCAAGAGAAAGACTTGAATTCTGTCCTCTTCATCTGAGATGTTAGTCCTTCCCCCAAGAGGTCCATGATGGAGGCTCCAGACCCAAGACCTGTGCCCCACTGCTCCTATGATCTGGCCATCAGTGGTGGGTTTCCTGGCTTTTCTCTCATGCCTTTCTGGCAGGCAGAATTTTAGTAGATGGATCCTTTCCCCATCCCTTTATAAATAAATAAGCACATTCGCTTGCCGGGAAAAGTTCCACCAGCATGATTTCTTTGTGCAGGAAGTGATTATTAAAGGCAAAAGAGCAGGATAAAAACAACAACCACAACAGTAGACAAAAGGGGGTGTTACTCCCAGGAGGGCAAGTGGAAGATGAGACACAGGGTAGCACTTTTTGAGGGACACATCCTGCAGCGCTTCCCTTTTGGGAAAGAAATGTGTGCAGATCTCCTTGTAGATGCTAGAGTACATCTCAGGGAGCCTCTCTGTCTCGCTCGTAAGGGTGGGGAACCCACTGTAGCTTTGGAATACAACACCCATGTCTCCGTGCCACCAACCATGCTGGGGGAAGCTTACAAGCGTTCTGAACCAAAAACCTCTGGAGAGCCAAGGATTCCTTCCTTCCTCCCTCCAGCTCTGGATTTCTGTGTGTTGATGGGGCCTTATCAAGTCCAGAAGCAAAGATGATAGAGAGCCCCTGATTGGAGGTAGAAGCACATCCCTGTTGGGCAGAAGTAGGATGATGCTGACCTGACAATCCTGGCAGCAGGGGTTGCCTGCTGACTCGAGCTGGGTTTTGGGGCCATTGACTCCTTGCTTGCTGAGTTCTCCTGGTTGGTTGCAACCCTCACCCTCCTGCTCTTGTGGTCTTCCTTGCTAGGAATGCCCCAGCGGCCTGGTGGACGAGGATACTTTCAAGCTGATCTATGCTCAGTTCTTCCCCCAGGGAGGTGAGTCTTGACTTTTTGTGGCCAACACATCTCTGCAGCTTTTTGGATGCTCGGAGGGCTAGGCCTCCAGTGAGACTGGGGGGTTGGCCATTGTCTTGGGAGGAAGATGCTAAGAGATGGCGGTGTTCCATCCGTCCACCTCCCTAAGCCAGGCTGTTTTGTTTTTGGTGTGGCAGAAGATGCTGAACCCTTGCCAGTGTTGACCAAAGTCATGTTGGCTTTTTGTCGAGGGAATGGGAAGGTTGCCATCTTGTCTTTGCCTTGGGGAGCACATTTTGAAGACATTTCTTGGCACTGAGAGAGTTTCTGTTAATGCTCCCCCCCCCGATGCCAATCTACCCATCTTTCCTACAAGCATGAGGAGTTTCTCATGCCATTGCCATGCATGCAGCACGATTTGGGCTTGATTCTCACTGCGAATCCCCAGAAACCCTTCCAGGCTCCATATGAACTTGTGAAGCTTCTGGACCTACCAGTTCTCATCTTCTTAGACCAGCAGAGAGTGTCCAAAGATCTCAGCAGATACTTCTGGAGGCACTGATGAAAATGGGAGGTTGATCCCTGTGGGACCTTCAGCATAGGAAGAACATCCATTCAGCTCTATCCCTCCCAGCAAGCCTTGCCATTCTTTAAAAATTATGGAGAGTCTGTTGAATTCATTTTTGTTCTTTAAGCAGGCTGGCGAGGCTGGTCTTTGGTAAAGCGGGAGGGGATGCGCTTTTTAAAAGTGCCGCATTACATATTGTTGTTTGAACAGATGGAAGATAATTTATAGAACTGCTGGATAGCTCAATGATTTAGGCACCTGGTTATGGAGCCTGAGGTTGGGAGTTTCGATTCCCCCACTGGGCTTCCTTGAGAGGGGCTGGACCAGATGATCCAGAGGGTCCCTTCCAGCTCTGCCCTTCTAAGATTATATTATTATTATATTTGGAATTAGTCTGAACCAGCGGTATTGCTGTTCATCTGCACCCTTAAGCGTACCTAATGGCAAACTCAAGGACTCGGTTGTGTAACAGCTCTACTCCTGTCGCACAACTGGGATTCCTAGCATCTCCTAAGATGGCCAAACCATGCTATTTGTGGGGAAATAGATGTGGTCTTGGGATGCCCAATGGAGTGCTGGGTGAGGACCATACCAGTTTCGAACCCTTGTGCAGTGTGGTGTACTTCACTGCACATTTCATGGAGGCACGGCGGAAGGGTGGGGGTGGGGAGGTTGTCAGAAAGCTTAAGCAAGGTTCTGCCAGCATCAGTAGCCGATCCGCTTATAGCCTTTCCTTCCACAGATGCCACCATGTATGCCCACTTCCTGTTCAATGCCTTTGATATAGAACGGAATGGAGCCATCCGTTTTGAGGTAAAATACCTTTTTTCTGTCCTTGGGTTGGCATTCTAGATTGTACCTCTTGAACCATCTGAGGGACGTAATCGGGCATCAGGGAATAGTTATTTTAAAAAAAAGCCATGTGAGGAACTTTGTATTTCATGGGATTTTACTGACAATGCTTTTTCCAGGGGTCACTTTTAGTCAGTTTATGATATGAAATGTGCCGGACCTGTTCACAAGAGAGAAAAGTGAGGTGAAGTGAAAAACCCTTTCTGGGGGTGGGGGGTGGGGTAACAACTCACTCTGATAATAGATAAGAAAAGTCTTAGAATTTTTGCAGGCAAAGGAGAGCCATAACTCAAAAATAATCCTCAAAGCCCCCCAGAGTAGATGTTGTCTAAATGGGCGGGATATAAATTTAATAAAACAAACAAACAAAAACATTTCCATTGTCCCATGTAATGAAAAAGCATTGTTAACATTTCGATTGTCCCATGTAATGAAAAAGCATTGTTTGCTACACAGAAAAAATAATAATAATGTAATTACCAGCTATTAAGTTAGATTAGGTTTGGCTTTTGCAAAGAAAACAACATTATACCCTCATTATCCCAAAGAGCTATCTGTGAACCCATTAAAGATAGCATGTTTCCTTTTAGTACATTTATTTTCAAGCTTTTGAACAAATGTCACATTTCTTGCGGTACATTTTCCCCCAAACATTGCATCTTTATTCTTTCATATCCTCTGGTCATCCAGACTCAAGGAGATGAAGGCATAAATAAATGATTTGGTTTATTTCTTTATTCGGATATACAAGTAAGAATGAGAGAGGAGGTGTATCAAAAGGTGGCCTGGGTGTCATTATAATTCATAACCTCTCAGTTTGCCTTTCATAGGGTCAAGGGTATTAATGGTTGCTGTAGGTTTTTCAGGCTGTTTGGCTGTGTTCCTCCAGAACATGGCCAAACAGCCCGAAAAACCTACAACAACTATCGGATCCCAGCCGTGAAAACCTTCAAGAATGCATTAAAGGTTAAGAGTATTATTCACAATGTTACCACGCAGAAAATCAGATAGATCCATTGAAGTCAATGGGACAATTTAGCCAGAATGTTAGCTTCATCCATTGCAGTGGGAAATGAGTGTGACCATCAGCTTCCAGCACGCTGTTGTTGCTGGATCTAGTTTGGTCCTTAGTGATGGCTGGGGTTAGGGCTTCTGTGTTCCTTTAAAATTTTGCCCTTTGAGATATTCAGTTCCTTTGCCCCCCCCTCCTCCTCTTGTGCAGGATTTTGTCATCGGCCTCTCTGTCCTTCTGCGTGGAACGGTGCACGAGAAGCTGAGCTGGGCCTTCAACCTCTATGACATCAACAAGGACGGCTACATCACCAAGGAGGTAGAGGTTAAGACTCCCGTGTTTGGGGTGGGCTGGCTGTGAAAGAGCGCGTGGGATGTCACATTCACTGGGACCATCTTGAGATGCTCCAACTGCTCTTATTCACCAGGGTCAATCCGTTCCCTTTTATCGATCACTGTTTCCTCCCAACCTTGCTCTTCTGGAGGAATGTCTTGGTGGGATTAATTTTGGGAGATGTCTTGTTGAAATGTTGTTGCTTTGATATACAAAGAGTTGTCACTCTTCAAGATTTCTTTGTCGCCTTTTGTGAGTCTTCCAAGACCAGGATTTTTAGCCGCACCATAGACACCTCCTGCACCAATGTTTTCCCGTCACTTGTCTTTAAGTAAAAGAAGAAGAAAGCATTGAAAAAGAGATTCAGTTGCATGACACCTGCTCAGTAAGGCTAGGGTCTAGCCCAGTGGTTCCCAGGCTGGGGTCCCCAGATGTTTTTCTCGGACTAAAACTCCCAGAAGCCTTATCAGTAAGGCTAGGGGCCCTCTGTCTAGCCCAGTGGTTCCCAGGCTGGGGTTCCCAGATGTTCTTCTCGGACTAAAACTCCCAGAAGCCTTCACCATTAGCTATGCTGACCAGGATTTCTGGGAGTTGTAGTCCAAGAACATCTGAAGAACTAAGGCCGGGAACCACTGGCCTAGAAGCATCCTAGACCCACAAGTTACATTTCCTAAGTATGTGGAGAACAAGATGAATGCACCTTCTCTCTGGAGCACAAGCATTTAAATTTTCGCCACAGAGACGGGCGAAACGTTAGGAAGAACAACCTTCAGAGCACAGCCAAAGAGCCCGAAAAACCCACAACAACCATCTTTAAAACAGATTGCTCAAACAATGAAACCATTAAAATCACAATAATATAATAATAATGTGCCGTCAAGTCAGTTCTGAGCCATGGCGACCTTTTCTGGGTTTTTGCAGGTAGAGAATACTCAGAAATGGCTTACCGACCTTTCCTGGGTTTTCCAGGTAGAGAGTACTCAGAAATGGCTTACCCGTCCCTTCTTCTGGGTGTGTGTGCTCTGTGTGGCTGTGCGGCTTGCCCAAGGCCTCACAGGCTGGCTGTATTTGGGGGGGGTGCCCTGTGTGGCTGTGCGGCTTGCCCAAGGCCACACAGGCTGGCTGTACTCACAGGAGGCCCAGGGGGGAATCGAACCCCCAACCTCTGGCCTAGAGCTATCCAGCCAGTCAAAATCACAATAGCCCAATGCAATTCATATTAACTGAAAAACAATCTGAAGAGGTGTGTCTTGGCAGCTACAGTCAGGCTGGGAATGCAACTGACAGTGGGTAAGTTACTCGCGTGTGGTTGGATCCAGTCCATTGTCGTTCAGACACAGAAATGCCCATGTCAGACCTGCTTATGTCCTGTGAGAATGCAAGGGCAGGTGGGAGGAAGGCTGCGTCTGAACCCCGGCCTTCTCCGAAAGCTTTCTTGTCCTTCTTTCCCAGGAGATGCTGGCAATAATGAAGTCCATCTATGACATGATGGGCCGCTATACCTACCCTATCTTGAAAGAAGACGCTCCCCTCGAGCACGTGGAAAAGTTCTTCCAGGTAGGTGTGGTGAGGAGAGTCAGCAGGACATTGACCTGGAGTGGCACTCAACAAGTGCAGTGAGAAGTTCTGTGTGGTCAACAACACAACTGTAGAAAGATGGCCCATTTATCCCTGGGATGGCTGTCTCACCATTCTCCAGAATGATTCCCCCAAACCAAAGTTTGGAAACCTCTTTTAGTTTGAGATTCAGAGAAGCTTTGGAGGAAAGAAGGGGGCTGCCTTCCAGGGGGCTGAACGTAAAGATCTTCATGCCTGGAACGAAGCCTTGGGTGATGCATTTGAACATCTTGGAATGGGGAGGAACCAGTAGAACGGCTGGGAAGTTCTAAGCCCCAGTCCATGGAAAAGGGGGTCCTGGTCATTTAGGGCTCGTTCTGCCATCCCCGATGCCAACGGCTACCTGAGTTGCTCTTCCACACGGACCAAAGGGGACAGCATTCTGTTGATACCAGGGAGTCCAGGGCAAATTCTCTGATCACTTGGGGGGAACGAGAAGGAGGGAATGACAAGGGCCAGGGTGTTCTTTTCCCATTTGAAGGCACTGAGAAGCTGCCCTTGGTAAGGCTGGGGCAGAAGAGGAAAGCCTGGCTCAGACTATAAGCGGAAGGCAAGCCAGGAGTTCCCAGTCTGATGGGGCTCATGGTGGGGAATGGAAGAGTCTTACAAAAACTGGGGAGGGAGCTCTGTTTACAGAGGCCGGGCTGGGCACCTGCCCCTCGCTCACGGGAAGCATCTCGCTTTTCAGAAAATGGACAGAAATCAGGACGGCGTGGTCACGATCGAAGAGTTTCTCGAGACTTGTCAAAAGGTGAGTCTGGATGCAAAGCCTCTTACAGCTCTTAAATGTCGTCTCTTTCATGATGTATGCTGCTTTGGGTCCTTTCAAGGAGAAAGGCCGGGTAAAAATATTGGAAGGAAGGAAGGAAGGAAAGGAAGGAAGGAAGAAAGAAAGAAAGAAAGATGGAAAGAAAAGAAAGAAAGAAAGAAGGAAAGAAAAGAAAGAAAGAAAGAAGGAAAGAAAAGAAAGAAAGAAAGAAGGAAAGAAAAGAAAGAAAGAAAGAAGGAAAGAAAAGAAAGAAAGAAAGAAGGAAAGAAAAGAAAGAAAGAAAGAAGGAAAGAAAAGAAAGAAAGAAAGAAGGAAAGAAAAGAAAGAAAGAAAGAAGGAAAGAAAAGAAAGAAAGAAAGAAGGAAAGAAAAGAAAGAAAGAAAGAAGGAAAGAAAAGAAAGAAAGAAAGAAGGAAAGAAAAGAAAGAAAGAAAGAAGGAAAGAAAAGAAAGAAAGAAAGAAGGAAAGAAAAGAAAGAAAGAAAGAAGGAAAGAAAAGAAAGAAAGAAAGAAGGAAAGAAAAGAAAGAAAGAAAGAAGGAAAGAAAAGAAAGAAAGAAAGAAGGAAAGAAAAGAAAGAAAGAAAGAAGGAAAGAAAAGAAAGAAAGAAAGAAGGAAAGAAAAGAAAGAAAGAAAGAAGACCCAGAGAAAAGAAAATATGCTTGATTTTCATTTGAGCCTGAAATCTCACGGCATGTTCTCTGTCCCTCTTTTTCCCTGGTTCAGGATGAGAACATCATGAACTCCATGCAGCTGTTTGAAAACGTGATTTAGGATGCTGGGAGCCCTGCCCCGTCTCTCCTGCTCCACCTGCCTCTTTGGCCTGCACTCGGACGGAGTTGTCTGTCCCTCTTGTGAAGCACACACACGTCTTTTGAAGAAAAGCCAGCCAACCAACTAACCAGAAACTTTTAAAAAATAAGAATAATAATATTGAACACAGGGAAGAGGACACCAAAAAGGGAAAGAGCTGGCATTTCCTTGTTGGTGGATTCTCACCACTTATAATCCAGGAGCTGGAAGGAGAACGTGGAGGCAGGGGGTGGGTTAGTCCTCTCCAGGTAGGACAGAAGACCTTGTAAAAGACACGGTCCCTTAGCAGCCCCAGAGAGAGAGAAAGAGAGAGCAATTTCCACCAGCCTGGCGTGGAAGGGGGATGGCTTTTTGAGAGATAAGGACACCCTTTCCCCTCCCCCTTGATAAAAAAATTATGATCCTCAAATATATGGTCCCAGAAGAAACTTAAACTCTCTCCCCTGCAGTGTCCCATCATGCTCCTCTGTAGCCTGTTTCCAGAAGGATTTGCATGGAATCATGTCGACATTGGTTGTGCGTCGTGTGGTAGGGCTCCCTCTGCTGCCGCCAGCTGGCTGGGCACAAGCAGTGCAGCTTGCATTGGTTGTGCGTCGTGGCTCTGATGGGGTTCCCCTTGGCCACCCTTGGTGGGACGCCCTATCTTTCGTGGTAGGGCTCCCTCTGCTGCCCCCAGCTGGCTGGGCACAAGCAGTGCAGCTTCTATGCCAGAATTAGATGGCATTGATCGTGTTGGCTGATTCATTGGCACTCCACCCAACACAAGAGGACTGGGAGTGCGAAAGACGGGTCCTTTCGAAACAACCCATTTGTAATGAGACTACCCCATGCCAAAACCCCATTCCCAGTTTTTCCCTTAGTGACCATCGCTGCTGGGGTTGGATGAGTAGGGAGTGTGGAGCCTCAGTGCTGTGAGTCAGCTGGAGTTGTGATATGATCCTGAGCTCCATTTTGCCTGTTTACACTAGCCGGTGCTCTACAGACTGATGCTCAAGGAAAACGGAAGACGTGCGAGCTGTTTTAATGTTCTTGGCAGCATCTTTGACACACTGTGGTCAAGATGTCACCCCTTCCGGTGGTTTTCAAGCTTATCTTCCAGCGACCTTTTTATGCGTTTTATGGATTGATTGGCTCCATTTATAGTCTTCCTTTCCTCCCATGTACTTGAGTCAGAAGAGTACCTGGCTTCTCTTTTTATATGTTTTAATTCTCACAACAAGCCTACGGGGTGGGTCAGATGGAGAGAGTGTGTTTCTCTCCCGTGCTCAGCCAGGGACTTCATGACCGAGTGGAGGCTAAAAACCCAGATCTCCCCTGCTCTAGTCTAAGAATTTAACTACTACATCACACTGCCTTTTTTTCCATGATGACTTCTCTGCTCAAGAGCCCCGTAGGATTTGCAGAGAGGGCTCCTGCGTGCCTGCCAAGTCACAAGCTCAATTCATCACCGTCCTGCATGAACTGAACATGGAGGCTTTGCTATAAGCATGGGAAGGGAAGATCAGTCATGGTGGGTGAGGAAGGAGCCCCATAGAGAAGTTGGGGCCACCCATTACTGATTTTCCTGATCCCCAATGATGTCAAGGGAAACCCCAAGGGCTTGAAGGAGCCTGAAGGCTAAGGAGGAGCAGATAGCTTCTCTCACATTCTCCTATAGCTCCATGGTTTATGTTCTGCCTGTCTTCCAGTTTAAGGTGGAGTTTCTCAAATCAATTTTTACAATGTAGGATCACTGCTTTCCATTTCCATTCTGCTTGACTGATCCACACCAGCGCAGATTCCCACAGAGTAAATAGCAGTGGGGGAAATAAAACATCCAGGGGTTGGTGAGTCTTCCCTGCATCACATTAAGATTCCCTTTCTACCCTGTGATAGAAACTCTGTCAGTAACTTTAAAGAGAAACTAAAAGAGCTATTATTTTTTATTTTATTTTTTTTAATTTATTGAGCTTATATGCCGCCCATTTAGGCATAGTCTACTCTGGGCGGCTCACAAACACGTAATAAAAACAATCAATGTAAGGTAACTGTTCCGGACATTAACTTGAAACAGAATAGATAAAGAGAGAAAGAGAATTACGTAGAGTCTGGAGGGAAGGCCTGTCTATATAACCAGGTCTTGAGTTGGTTTTTGAAAATGCCCAGCGAGGGGGCCAGATGAATCTCGGGGGGGGGGAGTGTGTTCCAGAGAAGGCCCGAATAGAGCAAACCATAGATCTTGCAGGAGTATGCAAAGACCAGAAAAAATAGTACATATAATAATAGTAGGGCCTCCATATCCACGGTTTCACTTATCTGCAGCCTGGAAATGCTAAAATAAAAAAAAAACTAGAAATACATATATTTTCACACTGTATTTTCCATGGTTTCACTTATCCGCAGCCTGGAAATATTAAAAGAAAAAAAAAACTAGGAATACATATATTTTCACACTGTATTTTCCAGAACTGGCCATTAGAGAGAGCCAGAGACCATGCCTTATATTCTTATTGTTGAAGAATACCTCACACGGTCTCTGACTTTCTCTAGTGGCCAGTTCTGGTAATGCATGGTGGGAATAGGTATTTCTGCTTTATTTCTTCTTTTACCCTGCAATGTATAGTGCCCATGGTTTTCAGTATCTGCAGGGGGATTGGAAGCTATTCCCCACAGATAGGGGGGGGGGCTACTGTAATTTACAAAATCAGAAAGCAGATCTTGACTGCTTTGATGCTGCTGTTCAGAAACTAGACCTAGCCCCTGAGAATTCTCAGTTCTGGGGGGGGAAATCCCACTGGGGGCGGAGGGACGGGGGGACAGTGGCATAAGTATTCCTACTAAAATCACCACCCTGTGACATGTACCCCAAATACATCTCACCTGGCATTTTGTAGAGGACCAGTCCTTTCCACACTTCTTTCTACGTTTACACTGCAGCTCCAGTTTCACACTTCATTTCTTCTCCTCATAAGTAAGATCGAGATAACACCCCCTTCCTCTCTCTTCCCCCCCCCTCCTCTGGTAGCCTCGGGACCGATGTCTTCCCTTCTTCTCCAGGAGGCTACCGAGCGTGGTGACATTGCCATGGTCTGCAACAATCCCCTCCAAAATAATAAATGAAATTTTAAAAAAAAAACCTCCTTCAGGGTGATGTGAGTAGGGAACTCCATGCTTCCTGAGCTGACCTATGTACAATATAAGGCATGGCCGCATGTCTCACTAGCCTCCAGCATCTCCTTGACCTCCTCTCACAGCACAACCTGGGGGGAGACCCTCACAGGTCCTTGTTCTACATAACGACTTGAGATTCAGTCACTGTATATTTTAATAAAATAAATTTTAAAAAAGAGATGCTTCTGCCTCTCACGTTTCTCTACCCATCAGCAGAGACACACACCCCTTCCCATCCTTTCTGCTTTGTTCGGATAGACTACAAAACACAGACAAGAAAGGAAGGAGTAGCTTTGGAGTGATGGAAAAAGCACTGGGGGGGTGGAATGGAGGCAGGATCAACCTTTTTAGTGCTTCAGGACCCTTCAAAGCAAGGAAGGGATCCGACAAAAGAATGCCGGGGTATCAGATGCTGGAATATCAGGTAAGAACAAAATAATTTTAAAAGAAAAAAGAAAAAAAGGGAGACGGAAACATTGTGGCACCTTAAAGACTAACTGCTATATTTATGTCAACGTTTGTGGACAAATCCACTTCCTCGGACTGGAGAATGGGATTATGTGGCTAATATTTATACTGTACATTTATGGGTGTGTTCTGTGCCGTCAAGTTGGAACCAATTTAGAGCAACCGTAACGAGGATTTCAAGGTAAGTGAGATATTTAAGGAGTGATTTTACCAGTTCCACTTCCCCAGTGATTTTCCATGGCCGACCGGGGATTACGAGCCCTGTCTTAATCCACACTGGGCCCTAAATCAGAGATTTTGTTTGTAGTTGACCTGGCCATGACCTTTAAAACTTTTCTTTATATTCAGTACCCTTCTCAGGAAGCATTGTTCTGTAAACAGTGACAATGATCTGTGGCTAAATTAATCCCAGGCTATGGAAAACGAGCAGGGGAAATATGGTGGCAAAGAGTATCTCTAACCACCATCAAATGCTGGAGTTACATTTCCCTATGTAGGTGTTTGTGTGTTTGTTTTGACAATACAAGAGAGACCACAACCCCAGGTACAGCAGACAACATGTTGGCTAATGGAATCTGGGAATTTTCGTCTCAAAAAGTAACTTTCTCCAGCTGTAGACAGTGCTGGGCAGAATGTCGACTCCATTTACGGTGTTTCAGTGAAAAAGGTCTCTCTGTTTTATTCTACATCAAATCCTTCAACATAATTCGTAATAGGAACATTCAGGCCAATTACAGGCATTTCATACCTGGGTGTGTTCCTCCCTCTATCTCCAGATATTTCAAATCCCCCTTCCCAAATGTGGTTGCTAAAGAAAGGGAGAGGGTCAGTTGAGGCCGATGGAGGTTTACCACCCCCTCCCACTGTCTTTGCTCTCCTATCTGGATGTGGTGTGAATTTTGAAATACAATCTGATTTTGGGTGCATTTTAAACCTACTTTGGTCCCAAGCAAGACTTGAAGACTACAAGTTGCACCCTATTTATCGTAGTGTGCAGTTTTGTCTTATCCAGTCATTCGCTCCCTTTTTAATTGACTTTGGTTCTCTGTATTGTTTAAACTGCCCACAGGAACATCATTTGAACTACTGCAGGAAGTGTGTCAGGTTACCCATACTTCAAAACCTCCCTCTCATTATTTAAAATTACAGCCACCGTTAATATTTTTATCTGAACCACAATAGCCTCAGAGACAAAATCTGTCTTCAACTTGCACCTGTAAGACTCTCCTATTGATCATCTAGCCCTGTAGTTCATGAACCTATTGATTAAGCCTTTTAAAAGAGCTACTTGGCATTTACTGTAACATAGCAATTCCTCTGGAGTTTTCCGAAACCTTGTATCATTATCTTTGGTCTGGTGTGCGTGCGTGCGTGCGTGCGTGCGTGCGTGCGTGCGTGCGTGCGTGCGTGTGTGTGTGTGTGTGTGTGTGTGTGTGTGTGTGTGTGTGTGTGTGTGTGTAAGTGCCTTTGCATTTCATTACACACTTATTTAAGTTTCATGTGCATCTTTTTCCTTGACATGCATGTTGACTCAGAAGTAACCCCTGCAGTGTTCAAGCAGTGCTTTGTAGGATTGCATTCTTATCTTTCCTCATTTCCATCAGTCAGGCAAGTCCCAGCATAAAAAGGAGGACCCTCATTAATAATTTTATCATTCTGTATTGGCACCCAACCACAAAAGCTTCAAGGCCAAAATTAATTACTTGTGTTTTTTTTAAGGGCGTGGGTTGTTGTTTAACATCCTTAAGCATTGTCCTCTGAAAAAGTAATGAACTGGCTAAAGTTGGTTGGTACAAATGGAAGGGCATGTGGCTCACAACAGCCCTGCAAGGCAGTGCAGGGCTACCACCACTGGCAGCTGGTCGTTGCCCTGATGAGGGTGGGAGTGAATCTGCTCTCTTAGGGCCCTGCAAAGCATCCACCCTGATGAGGGTGGGAGTGAATCTGCTCTTGGCTTCGAATCTGCACCCGGAAGGGTGGCCGGAGCTCTCCAAGGTTCTGAATCCGAGTTTCAGCACCTTGGAGAGATCCTCCTTTGCCCCACTTGTGGTTGAAGCCACCCACCCGCTCTCCTCTTCAGGCTGCCCACTGGCAGGCAGCTGGTCATCCCCAGCTGGGTCACACAGGATCCCTCCACGCCAGGAGGATCCTGAGTGAGGCAGCTGGGCAGCTTCTACAACTCGGTGCTTGAAGAAGCCATAAGTAAGAAGAACCTGTGACCCAACACTGCCCAGTCACATCAGTTTGATGCTGAAGCCACCCACCCGCTCTCCTCTTCAGGCTGCCCACTGGCAGGCAGCTGGTCATCCCCAGCTGGGTCACACAGGATCCCTCCACGCCAGGAGGATCCTGAGTGAGGCAGCTGGGCAGCTTCTACAACTCGGTGCTTGAAGAAGCCATAAGTAAGAAGAACCTGTGACCCAACACTGCCCAGTCACATCAGTTTGATGCTATGTCGAGGCAGCTGGGCAGCTTCTACAACTCTGTGCTTGAAGAGGCCATAAGTAAGAACCTGTGAACCTACACTGCCCAGTCACATCAGTTTGATGCTGCTTTAACTGTCAGGGCTGTCCTTGGGAATGATGGGATCTGTAGTTTGGGGATGGATTTAAGACTCCTAGCCCAGGGGTTCCCAACCTTGGGTCTCCTGGCTGTCCTAGGGAAGGATGGGATCTGTAGTTTGGGGAGGAGCTGCGGGTTAAACTGCCGAAGCCTCTGTGCTGCAAGTTCAGAAGACCAGCCGTCCTAAGATCGAATCCACGGGACGGAGGGAGCTCCCATCGCTCATCCCAGCTCCTGCCAACCTAGCAGTTCGAAAGCATGTAAAAATGCAAGTAGATAAACAGGTATCACCTCGGTGGGAACATCATAGCGTTCCTTGTCTAGTCACGCTGGCCACGTGACCACGGAGGATTGCCTGCTCTACTCTATGGGGCATGTTTTTAATACACAGTTCTGCGCATGTGTGAAAAGGAGGTTCGTCTTTGGAAGAGACGCTACTGGGTCCTCCGGAAGCTGCCATAGAGTACGGGATGGCTAGAAGGGCATCAGCAAAGGTCACACTATGGGGCAAAAATTAAGCGGCGGCAAAAGCCACAAACGGGGTGGGGGGATAAATGGGGGTCTCCTTTTCTCTCTCATTTACATGCGTTTTGAGGAGAAGGAGCGTTTTTAAACTAGGAAGCCGAAGTCTGTAAACAGTTGCCTCTCTAGAATGAGCTACTCTATGGTTGGTCGGGTTTTGCACCATAGAGAGAAGAAGAAAGAGTCGCACAGCACTGAGAAGAGAGGTGGAATGCGGGCAGCAAGAATAAAAACCGAAGGTGAAGGACACCTGAAAAGTCTCTAGCAGGGCTCATTTCAGTGGGAAATTCCATGGGTTGCTCTCTGTCTCTTCGAACACATCTAGTACTTAGAACACATATAGTAACTCTGTTAAGCCTCAATAGTTGTGTCTCTGGAAGGCTCCTCTATTTTTTATTATGTCTGCCTTCCGGTCCGATGTTGCCGCGGTGACCCCTGGGATCTGTAGTCGAACCGCCTCGGCTCTTTCATAGGCGCTCCAGGGGCTGAGCTTCGCAGGGAAACTTTTTCCTCGAGCAAGACCGGATCCTGCCCAGCTGGGAGCCCGGGCAGAAAAAAGCAGCCAGGTGGGCTTTTTTGGATTTATTTAGACTTCTTTATGGCGTTGGTGGTGCAGTTTTATGAATTGCATGGACTGTTTTATTATTGCCTTTTTTTATTGTGCAAGCCCTTAAATGGCATCGCTGGTGCAATTCATGAATGGCCATATGTTGCCTGTCCTTCCCATCAACTTTCCCTCCTCTTCCTCAGTGCCGCCCCCAGGACACCCCTGCGAGGTGGGCCGAGGCTGAGGAAGAAGGACTGGGCTCCATGGCGGGGGTGGGTGGGTTATTTTTGGCTTTTTTTAAGGGAGGGCAGCCAGGGTGGTGTCCCGTCCTGTTTTTGAAGGTTCCCCCTCCATGGAAAAGGGGTCCTTCCAGGCCAAGCTTTGTTTTAGGAAAAAAAGAATAAGAGTAAAAGGGAAAATGGTCAGGAGGCTTGAAGCTGCCCCCCAGAAAAGAGCTTTTGGCCGGCAGCTGGTGCCACATATGGTTGGTGGGAAATGCAAGGTTTATTCTGTTTAATTTCCTTTTCCCCTCCCTTGATTTTGACCCTCTGCTTCTCAGTCTTTTTGTGCCGTTTTATGCTACTCAAAGTTGCCTTTTGGTCCCCTTTCTGATCATGCGCGTCCTTGGGGAAAAGGGAAAGGATATTGCCCCAGGACAAGAATCATCATCTCTTTGGGCAATATAAATAGAAAAGGAGAGGGGGGTGGGAAGAAGACGAATCCCGAGGGTGGTAAGGGAGCACTGGATGCGTCTTGTATTCCGAGTCTCAGTTTGATATTGAGTTTCTGTTTCTGTTGTTAATTTCCTTTCATTTTGACCCTCTGCTTCTCAATCTTTTTGTGCCGTTTTATGCTGCTCAAAGTTGCCTTTTGGCCCCCTTTCTGATCATGCACGTCCTTGGGGAAAAGGGAAAGGATATTGCCCCAGGACAAGAATCATCATCTCTTTGGGCAATATAAATAGAAAAGGAGAGGGGGGTGGGAAGAAGAAGAATCTCGAGGGTGGTAAGGGAGCACTGGATGCGTCTTGTATTCCGAGTCTCAGTTTGATATTGAGTTTCTGTTTCTGTTGTTAGTTATGCAACTTTTTACTTCTTTTATTGGTCATATTAAAATAAAAATTAATAATAACAATAATAATAAAAAAGATAATGCATGTCCTTTTGAGCCATGGGGAACTAGCCCGCTCATGGGTTTCATGGCTGAGTAGGGACTCGAACCCAGATCCAGCCTGACCCCAGAAGAACTGGCGATCTGAGGGCAAAGGGCCGGAGCGAAGGGACACAGACCCCCTTCCTGCCCGCTGGAGAGCTCTCCTGCCCTGTTCAGTGTGCCTCACTCACTGCAAGAGGTTGTGTCGTCTGGGTTAAACTTTCTTATTTATATTCAGAGTATTTGTTTACATTTGTTAACATCCCTTTTTAACACTGTTTCCCCGACAAAAGGAAACGGCGGTTGAACTAAACAAGACCTGACTGTGACAACAGGATACAATAAAAACAAAAATGGGACACATGCTCAAAACAGCTCCCGGGTGGGGGGGTGAGGCTATATTCTCTGTTGCTTCTTTGCTGTCCCTCTTCCTTCTTGATACCTGCAGAAAACCTTGCAGGATCTTGCTTCAAAATACTGGAGCAGACCCGAATCAGTTTGTTGCAGAAATCTTGCTTCCCCCACCCCAACCCTTTTCTCTCCCACCTCTCTCTCTTGCTTGGCCAGTATCTTCTGTATAATTTCTTGCAGGGTTCGCTCAGCTGCTGACCTCTCCCTTCCGGTTCTTGGCCTCCCAAAGGAAAACCCTCCTCTCTCCAAGCTTCTCTCCGGCCACCTCTCGCACGCGTGTGCATCTCTCGCTTCCCTTTGTGACTCTCTGCGGAACGTGGGAACTCCCTCTCTTAAAAAGGATTAATATTCGCTGAAAAACAAGGTTGGGATATATTCCAATGGGGAGGGGGGAGATTTGCATTTTTGAGTGTCCAGAGTGGGTTCTGTTCAGACGAGGTGGTCAAATGGAGTCCTTGCTATTAGAGCTCATGACCAGTTTAAAGGAAAACTACAGGGCGTGTTTTTTAAGAAGTCCCATTGGGTGAAGTGGCTGCTCCTAGGCATGTGTGACTATGGTTGCAATCATTGATATTAATCATACTTTTAAAATGATGTGTTTGGATGGACAACTCAGTGGTTTAAGTATCTGGCTGTAGAGCCAGAGTTTTGGGATTTAATTCCCTGATGGGCCTCCTGTGAGTAAAGCCACCCTGTGTAGCCTTGGGCCAGCTGCACAGCCCCAGGGCAATCTCCCCAGAAGAAGAGAATGGGAAACCACTTCTGAGTATTCTCTACCTAGAAAACCCTGAAAGCGGTCATCATAAGCTACAATGCAACTGACAGCACTTTTACTTACTTGCTTGCTTACTTACTTACTTACTTAAGTTTTTCACACTGGTAAGGTAAAGGTAAAGGTTCCCCTTGACATTGAGTCCAGTTGTGTCTGACTCCAGGGCGTAGACGTCATCCCCGTTTCCAAACCGTAGAGCCAACGTTTGTCCGTAGACAGTTTCCGTGGTCACGTGGCCGGCGCGACTAGACATGGAACGCCGTGACCTTCCCACCAAGGTGGTACCTATTTATCTACTCACATTTTTACATGCTTTCAAACAGCTAGGTGGGTAGGAGCTGGGACAAGCGATGGGAGCTCCCTCCATCGCGTGAATTCGATTTCACGATGGCTGGTTGTAGCGTTCAGCAACACTGGTCTTCTGACCTTGCAGCACAGAGGCTTCTGCGGTTTAACCCACAGCGCCACCACGTCCCTTTTCACACAAGTACAAGCCTGATAAATTGCTGTTTGATCCATGAAAGCTCGTGATTATATGATGGTTTTTAGTGGGTCTATAATGATGTATGAGTGGGACGTGGTGGTGCTCCTCCTGCTAGCCTGAATAGAGGAAATTGTTAAAACCAAATGAAGCTTCAAGAACAAGCAGCAGCTCCTTTGGATTTTTCCTCCTCTTTTTCCTCTGCCTTGGGTGTCCCTCCCTTTCTTTCCTTAGCCGGACTTTGCTCTCCCCCCCCCCCCTTCATCCTCTTTTTCCTCTGTCTTGGGTGTCCCTCCCTTTCTTTCCTTCGCCGGACTTTGCTACCCCCCCCTTGTCCTCCTCCAGCAGAAGGCCTTGGATTTTGAACCGTCAGGAGCACACAGTTCTCACGACGAGTTTGCTTCAGATTCAGACCATCCTAACGGAGTGCGTTTGAGGCCGGTGAGGTGTTCAGTGAGTGGTTTTACCAAGGCCACTACCCTCCCCTGCGAGATTCCGTGACCAAGAGGAGGTTTGAACCCAGGTCTCCTGAGTCCTGTTGTGACCCTTTCCCCCAACTCTGTTATTCCTGGTGTTGTCTCCCATCCTAAATCATTCTCTCTCCCCTTCTGTGACCCTTTCCCACGACTCTGTTATTCCTGGTGTTGTCCCCCATCCTAAATCATTCTCTCTCCCCTTCTCTCCTCTTTGTTTTGCAGGGGTGGATGTGGCACCCCCTGGCAAGAATCCTGCTGGTGGGCAGTCAGCTCAGCCGGGCAGGGCCAGAGAGGAACAGCTGGAGGAAACTGGGAGCCAGGAGGGTCTCCCATCTGTGCGGAGCAATGCGGTTGGTCCAGTTCCACACCAAGGGCTCGTCCCCAGAGCCCCGGATCGGGCTGGAGGAGAAAGACGGAGGCGGCGTGATCGACCTGAACGCTTTCGATCCGTCCCTGCCCAGGACCATGCGCTCATTCCTGGAGGGAGGAGAAGCCTCTTTTGCTGCGGCTCGAAGGTCTGTGAGCACCCACGGGCGGAACTGGGGGTCCTAAAATGTAGCATCTCGCACACTCCCCCTTCGCTCCTCTGCCTGCCTCCAGTTCCTCTTCGGCCTCTGCTCCTTTCTAAACCACAGCCCCCGGTCTCCTCCGAAGGAAGCTCACGGCTTCCTGCTCTGTCCTCAGGGCACAAGAATCTGGCCCCCGAGTCCTGTCCCGGGACCAAGTCACCCTCTTGGCTCCTATCACCAACCCGGACAAAGTGATCTGTGTGGGCATGAACTACGTGGACCACTGCCTGGAACAGAACGTGAAGATCCCGACGGAGCCCATCATCTTCAGCAAGTTCTCCAGTTCCATCGTGGGTCCCTATGATGACATCATCCACCCGCCGGAGAGCAAGGTGGGTGAAGGATGATGTTCTGTTCCGCCCTTTGGGGAAAAAAAAGCTCCGGTCTAAAGGAACGAGGGAATGGCCGACCAGCAGGCACCAGCTTTATAGGCAGAGTATGCAAGTAACTAATTACACATAATATAGTTATACATAACTAATTACTTTCACAGTAATGAGTAGTTACAGACTTACAGTAAAAGTAAGGTAATATGTAGTTGCAATGTTGCTGTAATGAGTCATATTTTGTAGTCATTTCCAAATGCCAAGTTCAAGATATTGTTGGATATATTTGTATGCAAATTTTTCTCAATCCTGAGTGGCAGGAGCTGCAATCCTGTTGCTTAGCATGGTAAGTGCCCCTCAAGTAGGCCCACTGAAACAATGGGGTCTGGGTAACAACTCCTCTGGAAATTCCATTGATTCAAACAGGCCTACTCTGGTTGCAAGGTTTTTTTTCCATAATAATTTATTTATTTATTTATTTATTTATTGGACTTATATACCGCCCCATAGCGCTACAAGCACTCTCCGGGCAGTTTACAATTTTAATTATACAGGCTACACATTGCCCCCCCCCCCCAACAAGCTGGGTACTCATTTTACCGACCTCGGAAGGATAGAAGGCTGAGTCAACCTTGAGTCACAACTGTTTGAATCAGTGGAATATATGGAGGAGTTGACACATCAAGACCCCATTGATGGGGGGGCTACTTAAGTGCAACTTACTGTACTGAGCAACGAGTATAGTATGATGTAATAGATGATGTCAGCCTTTGTTTTTGTCTTTTATATTTTTGGAAATATTTACAACTGGAGATACTCTTTGGCCTTTGTAGAGAGACGGACGGGGCATCTCCCTATATTTTCCTGACCTGCTAGGAGCTAACAGGCAGTGTATTGAGAAGAACCCCATGTGCAAAACTACATGTCAGTGTCTTTGTATCTGCTTTATATTGTGGTTGTGTTTACACGGCTGGAGAAGCGATTTCTTTTCTTTTCACTGGAAGAGAGGCTTCTGTCTCACTCCCTTGGCGGCTTCCGCCCTGATTGTCTCCAGCCCCGCGTCCTCCCCCTCCTGTGCCACAAACACACCCACGGTTTCCACAGTTTCTCTCCTGCCCCAAAAGACATCTTTGCTGAGACACGGGACATTTTTCCTGACGGTGATGCTGGGTTAAGTGGCAGTCTCTTTGGTGCTAAGACAGAGGCTCAAACGAGTCCGTTTCCCCTTCTAGGAAGTTGACTGGGAAGTGGAGTTGGCGTTTGTCATTGGGAAGAGAGGAAAACACATCCAGGTAATCCCAAAGCCAACGGTGGGAACTGACTTGGCAGGTCAGGGTGTGAAAAGACACTCTTGATCTTGGTGATGCAGGGGTTAAGCCACAGTACTGTAGTTGAGACCCTGCTCACAACCTGAGACGGATCCCGATGGACTCAGGCTCAAGGTTGACTCGGCCTTCCATCCTTCTGAGGTTGGTAAATTGAGTACCCGGCTGTCTGGAGGTGGGGGAGGCATGTATAGTTTGCATCTTTAAATTATAAATTGCCTAGAGAGTCCTTTAAGCGCTGTGGGGCAGTACGTAAGCAGCCCGCTTTGCTTTTCATCCTGTTGTTTGGATCTTGCCACCCCTATTTTCCAGATCTCCAAAGTGATCCGATTTACGACGTGCTGTAAGCATCTCTCCTAGGAATTAATTTCCATTGAGTGTAGTGTGGCTGAGTAGGTGAGGGGGGGATGCAGGATTGCACCTTTAGGTGTTAAAATCTAAGTGCCACATTGTAGTTGGGTTCATGGCCTCCTCCTTCTGTCCCCCAGGAATCAGAAGCCATGGACCATGTAGCTGGCTTTACCGTGGCCCACGACGTAAGTGCCAGAGACTGGCAGATGAAGAGGAACGGAAAGCAGTGGCTTCTGGGGAAGACCTTTGACACCTTTTGCCCCCTGGGGCCGGCGCTCGTCACCAAGGACTCGGTCTCAGGTTGGTGGGTGGCCACGTGGCTCTTTTTGGGGGGAAGGAGGGAGGGGTGGTCTCCCCAACGTCCACTGGATCACTCCCCCTGCTGACCCAATTCTTTGTGTTGACCCAATTCAGCGAGAAAGATCCACGCAGGAATAAGCAGCGATCTGTGCCCCTGAATGCCCCCCCCCGAGTCCATGTCTCCTTCCCCAGGGAGGTTTCTCAAACCTTGTGGGTTTGGTGCCAAAGGGGGTGTGAGCAAAAAAAGGGGAGATCTATTTGGACCCTACTTACTTACTTATTTACTTAGGGTAAGTTTATTGTGGAATCTCTTTATTTTGGGTGATGCACGAGGGCCACCGGCCACCCTGTCTGGGAAACATATCTCGTGCGGGATTTAACACTGCTTTGCGTCTCTCTTGCTGTGATCCAGACCCGCACAACCTGGGGATCCGCTGCCGAGTGAACGGGGAGCTGGTCCAGAACAGCAGCACCAACCAGATGATCTTCAAAACCGAGGCGCTCGTGGCCTGGGTCTCCCAGTGAGTGGCCCCCTCTCCCTGCCTGCTTTTCATCTTCTTTAATAAAAGGGAGGTCCCCCTAAGAGCATAGGACCCCCAGGCCAGGCATTGAAATCCCCTTTAGCTGCCCTGCCTGGCAATTCGACTGATAAAAAACGGTCACTGACTTACCAAAACAAACCCAACAATAAACAAACCCCACAAACCCTGCCCCGTATTCTTTTTCAATAGGGCTTCCCCTCCAACCCAACCTTTGCAGGTGTGGCTCTCAGGCTACAGAGCCCTACAAGGAAATAATAATATGTTAACTAAAAACCAATATGTGTTTTTTTGACCAAAGAACAGACCCTCCAAGGAGGGTTTTTTTTGTTCCTCAGCCTTGGGAGGCTTCCTTCAAGTCTCCAGAATGAAAGAAGCGGCCGCTGCTTATTTCACGTTTCCTTTTTTCAAATGGCCCCTTTCCAGCCCTTCCGGTTCCCTGGTTGCAGCCTGTGGGGAGTGGCTCACGCCAGGACTCACCATTTGGCCCCCTCGAGGGTTGCCTACCTTTGCTGTAAGATCAGAGGAGGAGAAGGGGTTCCTTCCGTTAAAGGACCAAGATCAGCAGCTGGTTCAGCGCCGGCCCTTTCCAGATGTTGCTCCCAGACTCTGAAATGACCAGCCCGTGGAAATACACTAGGAAAAACGTTCTTTGGATGCTACTGGAAAGGAGCCAAGCTGCATCGTCTTGGGTGGATTTTGAGCCTGGGGGTGTGTATCTCAGTTAGGGCATTGGTACAATCCCCTTTGGCCAGCCACCTGGGAGGGAAGCAGGACTGGAGGGCAGGAGCGCATTGTGGTACGACACGGTGGGAGCATCGAATGTGGGGCGCCAGGCAAAGAATCCCAAGTTCCAACAAGGCACTTCTCTTAAAAGAGTTTTTCCGCCTGAAATCGGAATACTCAGGATGAGAGTTTGACCTTTCAGGTCCTCCCTCCACTCTGGGGACTCCCTTCTGAGCCTTCTCCTGACTTGGGCTGTTTTCTGGCAGGTTTGTCACCTTGTACCCGGGAGACGTCTTCCTCACAGGGACTCCGCCAGGTGTTGGGGTTTTCCGGAAGCCCCCCGTGTTCCTCAAGGTGAGCACTTTTCCCCAACAGCCGTGAACTGTCTGGATCTTCGCACTCCTGCCAACTGAGGGTTCGCAGCTCCCCCATGTGAGGTTTCTAGGTCTGCTCTTTCTATGGGACAGGTCCTTGTGTGGTATTTCTGTCACCCTCGTGTGCTCAGAATACCTCACAGTGGTCCTACAGGGTCTAAATAGATAAGATGCTGTGGTGTTTAGGGATAAAATAAAGTTTTTCTCAGGAAGTGGCTGAGAGACAGGAGCCAAAAATTCCCATTTTTCTACATGTTACTTTGGCCCGGCTGCCTTTCATTCTTTCAGTCTTTAGAGTTTCCAAGAGATTATATTCAGGTACTGGGGAGGTGGGTTGAATCAATAAACATGGGAAGAGTGCTAAAGTTGTAAAAGTGGATCTGTTGGTGTTCATCGCGATGTTTGCCATTGCTAGGGTCTCCCATAAGGAGAGCCCCAAAATGTGGGCAGCTGGATTGATCCATACTGACCATGAGGAGCAGGCCTTTTTAAAAGTTAACAGCTCCCAATTGCCCTTTCAAAGCCAAACCGCTTTTCAGTACTTTGCGTTACAGTTGGAACAACTTGAAGGCATCCTGGACTTGCTCCACAGAAGCTCACGTTAAAATATAATGGTCAGTCTTTAAGGTCCCATAAGGTTTTTGCCTTTATTTTTCTGTTCTTTTCTTTGGATTTTGCTTTCAGAGAAACAGTTTCTCTCCCAGCTACTGAGAGAAGTTTGTAGCTGAGCTCAGAAAAAAACAGAGTTTGGCGGGGTGGTGGTGGTATGGAGTTCATGATCCTCCTTGCTTGGAGGGTCCCTGGACTTTGATCCTGTGCTCCACCAGGGGAGCCGGAGACCAAAGGTTATGAATATATTGTAATTTAAAGCACTCGCTACCATAAATAGGCCTTAGGAGATGCATAGATACTTAGAATGAGGAAGAACATGAGTCAAAGGCATGGAAAGGCAGGGAAACCCCGGAGCAGCCAGCGTGGCCACCAGCCCCTGGTATTCATCTCCCTGGGGAATGCCACGCTCCGCTGACTGAGCCAAGGATCTGCTGGGGTTTAAAGGAGAACCCGGGGCTGCCTGTGGCGACTGCAGCCACACCAGGTGGCCCGCAGCCTTTGTGCAGCCGTGGTGGGGCGTGTTTGCTTCGCCATGTTTACCATGTTCGGGACAGCTGGCGGGAAGCATGCTAGGTGGAAATGCATTCCTCCTAGGATGTTGGCGGCCAGCGTTCCTGACGTTTAATAAGCGGGGGACTGTTGTGATTTTTCTCTTGCAGAAAGGGGACGACGTCCAGTGCGAGATCGACGAACTGGGAACCATCCGAAACAGGGTGGCCTGAAGGGTCCTCGCCACGTCTGTCCCTGCGGCAGGCGGTCGGGGCATCTGGCCCAGCGCAGCCGCAACACCGGAGTGCCTTCGTTGATTCCAATCATGAGTGCAGACGAAGGGAAACTCTGCAGTTCAGGTCTGCAGGGCTTTCCCCCCCCCTTTGAGATTTCTTCCCCTTGAGCCCCCAAGGAGGAGGCGGGTTCAGAAGCTGCTCACTGTCCCTGCATATTTCCATGGAGGAAAATGAATAAAGAGCACGTGGATGTATGTCTCTTGTGATTAGGAGGGAGGACACCCATGTCTCACGGCTACATTTCTGCATTTCCTAAGCATAGGTAAGAGAAAGACTATAAACACACACGACACATGTCTTTGTGCGTGAGGCTTCCCCAATAAATGCCACATGGTTCTCTGCCTTGCTGAATGAAAGTACATCATCTCAGAATAATATTCAGGTTATATCACCATGTTTTCATCTTGGCCACCACTCCGCTCTTCCCCAGGTTTAAAGCACAAAACACAGCCTCTGGGCTGTAGGATAGGTTTCCAGACTGAGGAGAGGAGTTTCTTGATCCAAAATCTGTGCCAGGATGTTCCCAACCAATACACCCTCAGTTCCTAAGTTGTAGGTCTGTAGATTCTCAACTCAGTAGCTGCGAGGTTCTGCTTCTTACAGGGCCCCAAGAGAAACAGAGTGCGCAGGGTTATTTCAACAGAAAGTCAACTACTAGTTACACAACAACATTTTTTATTATTTGCTAGTTTGCACAAACTGCACGTTCTCGGCATGAAAGGCTTCCCAAGTGGGACAGAAAGGAGAAAAGCAAGTAAACGAGAGAAGCAAGTACAAAACTAAATAATGCAAACACACTGCTAACAGCGGCATGCTAATGAATTATCTTCACCTGCCAGAACTCAACGCTAACTCTTTTAATTTCCCAACTGCGGGGATTTGCAAAGGTTGCACCCTTAACAAGAAAACAGTAAAGGGAGAAGGATGGAAGTTTTGACTGCGATCCCGCTAGTCTAGATGTAGATAAACTGACTGACGAATCTCTCCAGTTTCTCTCGGTTCTCTTTGGTCGCGAAGGTGTCCGACAGGTGGAGAACCGGCTCGGTTTGCCCTGCAGCTTCTCTCAGCACCTGCAACGTGAAATTAAGAGATGTGCAGAATTTTCCTGCACCAGCACAGTGCCCTCCATGCACCAGCCAAAGACATGGACTGAGGCCGCTCTCTGCGCACACAGTCAGGTCATGTTTTACTGCACTGCGAAAGGAGGTCCAAACAGAGAAGGAAGGCTTTGTGCTTTACCGGAAGCAAATTTTCCTCCAACTTTGCTCTCAAAAACAAAATGCATGTGAAACAACAATAGGGAGGGAAGCTCTCTTGTCATGGGCTCAGCTTACTTATACCTTTGATAAACCTGCTCGTAAAGAGGTCTGGAAGTGCAACGGGAGAGGGTGCAGAAGAAGTAAAGATGAGGATTTGCAGTTTGAAACCACACTTTTCTGAGTCCCCAACTTGGCCATGGAAGCTCACCAGGGGGAGTGGAAAGGGCCAAACCTCTCCTCAAATATCTCATTTATTTTGAAAGCCCCATCAGGAGAGAGAGAGAGGTCTGGGTGGCAACCCGTCCTGCTTCAGGATACCGACCCCAGGGCTGGGCCTACGTGCCTGACCACTGGCAACGGCAGCTGACGCCATCCTCAGCCATCCTGGCAAGTCCATTAGCTGGAAACAGGCTGGATTACTAGACCGCCAAGTTCAGCCTGACCTGAGAAACAAAACAGCCGAGGTGCGGGTGAGATGTTTATGGAAGAGGAAGACAAGGGGTGTGTGTGGCTGTTCTGCAATCATCCTCTTAAAAGGGAATCTTTTTTTCTCAAGCCGGCTCTTGGCCTGCAACACCAAGATTCAGGCCGGTCATGCTGGTCTCTGGCACAATAAACTTGAGGCATGAGGGGCCCAATCCGGACTTGGAGCTGGGGAGGGGGAGCTCCAAAACCTTCGCCTCCTGCCCTGAAACTGGCCGGCTTCGGCCACCAAGAGAGCCGAGAAGGCACGTCTGCCTGCCGTTCAGTGACTGACGGCGCCCAACGGCACCACCGCCAGTCTGGACCTGTAAAGCGGGTAATGGTGAGGGAGAGGACCGTGGAAACTTGTGGGGCTCGTCGAGGCAATAGCCTTAGGGGAAAAGGGCACAAGAGAAGCAGCCCCTTACCCCCAGCTCCTTGTAGATGCGGAGTGAGACGGCAATCAGAGCCCGGTTGGCGCATTCTGAAAAACAAGCAGAAGAAATTAGAAGATAAGATTTCCAGGGTAGGAAGAGGAAAAACTCTCTACCTTCCTCTCTTTGGGTCTCCTGATGAATTTTGTCAAAGCGCTAGGGGGCAACACTGATTTAGGTTTAAAAAGGAGGAAAAACAGTCTCTTAAGGTACACCAAGGCATCACTGGGCTTCAATGAATCCTAGTATCTGGCTGCTGAGAGCTATAGAAACGGTTAAGTCCTCCTTTGGAATTTCTTTTTGCTCTAAAACTTGCTAAGCAGCCCTCGGCAAGCCGATCTCCCTTGTCTGCAATTTCAGCATAATCACCCAAATCCGTTGGGAGTGCAGTATATGACAGAAGTGCTCAGAATATCAAAAGCGCGTTGTATAAATGCTAGATAGATTACTGAGTTTTAATTGCAACATTCTGAGCAGAGGAAAAACAAAATTAGAAATATTTTAGCGCAAAACCAACAACAAAACCAGCTAGTATTTAGAAAGCATGGTCGGAGCCGGAAAGGTTGAAATAACTGGGAGGGTGTTTGTCCTTATGTGCTGCCAAATTGGCCCCAACTTAGGGAGACTCTTATGAGTGAGTGATCTCCCAAATGCCCTGTCCTCCGCAGCCTGGCTCAGCTCTTGCAAATGCAAGCTAGAAAGCACAGTCAGAGCCGGAAAGGTTGAAATAAGTGGGAGGGTGTTTGTCGTTATGTGCTGCCAAATTGCCCCCAATTTAGGGAGACTCTTATGAGTGAGTGGTCTCCCAAATGCCCTGTCCTCCGCAGCCCGGCTCAGGTCTTGCAAAATGCAAGCCTGTGGTTTCTCTTTAGGGAGTCAGTGCATCTCACATTTGGTTTTCCTCTCTTCCTGCACAGCTGTGAGAAAACGCTGTTTCAAATTAGGGAACAAAGGAGGGGGCTGGATATTGCCCTGGCAAAAAAGCAGAGATTTGCTCTGGCACATGGGGAAAAAATGCAGAAAGATGTTGTTTACAGCACCCGTCTTTTCTATCAGGTCACAAAAACCTTGCCTGTGAACGCAAGGGGATTGCGAAGAATTTGTTCCAGGGCACACCTATGCTCCCCATAACATTTATTTTACAGGAGAAGCTTCTTCCCGGCAGCTGTAACTTTGTGAGGCCACTAGGATCACCATACTGTGGTTAAAATATATACGAGGGCATAATTGTTTTAAATCAAAATTGTTGTCAGAAGTGCTGGAAAGAAGGGTCACGGCAGAGAGAATTTGACCTCCCTCCCAGATGGCTTTCCTGCAGAATAAAAGGGGTTTCGCTCCCTACCTGATAAAGCCACTCTAGCAGCTTCTCCCCTGTCACGGCTCCTTCCTGTTTAGTTTTCAAATGTGCAAATTAATTGCTTTCATATACTTAGCACCACGCCTGGTTTGAGGCCTCAGAAAATCCTGCCGGCTCCCAGGACGACAACCCCTAAGGCTTCCAGCCAATTCTACCCATTTTAAGTTTGCTGTCAGCCCGAGACGTCGTTACTGTCCTGCGGTTTGTGTCTGCTAAGGCACAGCACAGGCACCTGTAATTTAATCTGTTTCATGTATTTCAAATTAGACCCGTTGTGCCCGGGAGCCTTTAAGCAACGGCAGCATCTTCCATCAGCAATAATAATTAGAACCACCGTGCAATCCGAATCCGGGACCTCCGGATTCACAGCTCTCTTGCCCCTCTGTGCTACTGACGCGTCTGGTTCTCTTGCTTCTGGGATGCGCCCAAGCTCTCTGGACTCACCAAAGGAACCGTCCTCTTCCGCCTTCCTTGCCAAGAACTGGTGGAGCCTCTCCATGCTCTGGGACTCTGCAGGAGAAAACAGCGAGCGGTTTAGAAAAGCTTGGAAGCGCAAAGACGGGGTCCTGCAGGAGGAAGAACCGACACACCCGGACCCTGGGGAGAAAGCAAAGGAAAGAGTCACCTGTCCACCCGATGGCACTTGTCTCCTCATACATGCCAAGATCAAACCAAGAAACTTTTGACTTGGGAAGCCAGTTTGGCTCACGCTCGACCGTAGCAATAACCACAGGTGCTTATGGTTGGCCCAGCGCATACTCCACTGGCTACTTCTGGAGATGCCAACGTCACAAAGGCTCAAGATCAGCCCTTTAAACTTTTCCCAAACGAAGCCGGTATCTTCCCCAAGGCAGTTAAGACGCCTGGCGCCAAGCGAGTCAGCGCACACGGTGGTGGAGCATACCTGGTTGAGGGAACCCCAGCTTGCCGAGGAAGGAAGCTGCTCTCTCCAGCGTCTTCAGGAGGGGGCTCAGGAGGTGGCCGAGGAAGGCAAACAGGGCTGGGCAGTTGTCCAGATGGCTGACCTAAGGCAGGGTGGAGGAAAGGTTCCAGACCGTGAGCGCTCTGCCGGAGCCACCCCGCGAGACGGGCAACGAGAGACCTGCACGTACGGTCTCCTGCCAGCTTGAAGATTTGGTTCCTTTAGATCGCCACCCCAGCTGAAAAAATGGAAACGGCACCACGGCCTTCCAGCAAATCCCCGGAACCCAGAACCCAGTTTAGTACAAAACGGGTAAGGAGTGTGCTAAATGAGGAGCCAAGCGCTCCCTTTGTCCCCCTCCACTTTCCACCTGCGATGCCGCAAAAAGAACCCCAGCCTGCCATGACAGTGTCGGGAAAAGAAAAAGGAGGGGAGGGGAAAGAGAGAGGTGGCCATTTGTGGGCGAATGCCTTAGATGGGCAACTTCGTTTTGCAGCCAAACGGAAAGACTGGGGAGGTTTTTTAAAAAAACCCTCCAAGGAGCAACAGCCAGCTGACATCCAGGAGATGGCACTGGTCAGCCAGAACCTTGGGAGCTGGTGGGCGAGATGGAAAAGGCATCCTCGTGAACCTCCGCCCACCCCCCAGAGACGCCCAGGCCCTGTGATGCACCAGAGAAGCGGAGGGGGACCGTCTTCAGCCCCAGCCTCTTAATTACAGAGAACTCAGCTTTCCTTCTGAAGGAACACAGAGAAAGGTTTCCGCGCGGCAACCCACACAGCTGGCATTTGAAGAGACAGGTTGTGAACCCCGGGATGTGTCACACGAGCGCTGAGAAACAAAAGAATTCAAGATTCATATGGTAATTGGATGTTCCTTTTTACAAGTGGAAGACGAGGAAGGAGGGGGGGGTGGGCGGCCAACACGGTGGAGGCTTCCTCGTGAAGACAGGCTTGGAAGGAAGATGTGGAGATCCTCAGAGCGTTAAAAATGGGCGATGCCAAGGGGCTCAGGCCTTCCCAGCCCACCTCGAGCTGAGCTGCAAAGCCCTTCAAGGGCCAAGAGCCAAACAAAGGGAACAGGAAGGTGCGTGTGGACAGAATGACATATGTATCCTTCTCTGCTCATGATCCTGCAAATGTGGACACAGCACAGCTTGTGGAAAAGGCCACCTGTCGAATGTGCGGGTATCCCAGGAGTATTTTTACAAAGAGTCCTCCATGAGTGGGGGGAAAAGGGCTGTGGGCGCGCACTTATGACCCTATGCTATGCCCACATTTCCAGTGACATCGCCCCTCCCAGGCTTTTTACACAGAACAGGTCAGGGGACACCCCACTGCACCCCCAAAACTAAACCAGAAGCCACCCATCCAGCAGGTTCAGTCTCCAAAGAGTTTCCTCGCAGGCATTTCTCTCCATTTCTACTTGATCTGCCTGGGCTACTGAGGGGATCCTGTTTTCCGGAGCTGCCTTCTCCCGCCACGGCACGACAGCCACACACCCCCAGGTGGATGCTACGATGTCCAACTAGAAAAGGGAAGGGGGGATCCCGCTTTTAAACATTTCTCCCTCTGCTTGCTGCGGGGAGGTGGCTGAGCTGCCCTGTCGTCCCTGACCCTTCCCGATCCAGGGCTCAGGGGAAAGCTCAACCTGCCTCAAGGCACGCACTTCATTTCATGCCATCGCTCGCTCTCCTCGGCTCGCACGTTTCTAAATGGGAAGTTCCAGCTACAAGAATCTTGTATTAAGTTCTATAAAAGAAGGACCACTAGGCTCCCCACCTGGGTTCCCCAGATGTTTTTGGACTACAGCTCCAAGAAGCCTTCATCACCAGCTGTGCCGGTCAGGGTTTCTGGGACTTGTAGTCCAGGAACATCTGAGTTACCCCAGGTTGGGAATCCGTCGTTCTAGAATTTTTAAAAAAGAAGCCGCTCTGATCCCTTGGTTGGTCTTCCTCCCCCAAAATGGAAGAGTTGGTGCCAACGACCCTCCTCCTAAGCAGTGTGGTCCTCACTTGTGGGTCCCAGTGATGATGTGATGGGACACCAGACAGCGCAAAGCCATCGGTCGGGGAAGCTATTTTGGGGGAGACTCCAAAGCACATCAAGCCAGCAAGTCCATTGGCCATGGAGACTGAGATTTTAGGGGCTGTAAAGGGGGGGGGAGGGACTCTCCTCATCTCTGTATAAAGGACGGGGTGCCCCTGCACTCAGAGGGGGGTGCGGACGTTGGCAGCACAGGGGGTCTTAGAGGCCCTCGGTGGTGGGAACAGAAGCTGGCACCTGGTGCAGGAAAGGGAAGGGGGCAAGGGGTCTCCGGTCAGTGGTCGGAAGAGGTGCTCGGCAAAAGAGGGGCTTCCCGGAGGGACTTCTCCGTACTTTGAAGTGCTGCTTTCCTTCCTGTTCCTCAAAGTCATCGTCGGCAACGTCGTCGATCGCCTTCCACAGCAGCTTCTCGGAGAAGCGCTTTGGGGCCGCATCGCAGGGCAAGAGGTCGCTGGGCGCCTGCAGACGGGGAGGAAAAGAAGAGAGGGCACTTCCTTTGATCGAGGCCGCACACACTTGGCCGCCCACGGGGCCGCCCAGCCAAGCCACTCCTTCCTCTGCTGCTGAGCCAGGACGTGCTGGAGGGCCACCAGAGGAGAACTTGTGGGAGTCCAGAACCGCCATGGACGGAAGACGCTGCCTCCGGCCACCTGAGATTCCTAGGTATTGGCCTTGCTCTCCACCAGAAGAGCTGGGCCCCTCGCCTGTGCCATAGGGGGCCGTGGCTTTGTTCCTCCCCGCCTCACACAAAATCAGTACCCAAGCTTACAGAGACTGTCCGTCACAACTCTGCCTGAGTCACTGCTCTGGCTTTGCCTCCTTCTAAAAAAGGAGGCACACACTAAGCTATACCTGATATTTAAAAAAAAACCCAGCACAAGCTCTTCTGAGGACTCTTCACCACGGCTCTTCTTTCTGCAACCACTTCTTTCCCCCCCAACCTCACTTCCACTCACTTCTCATCCTCCTCTTACCTCTTCAACCACCAACAAACCGCACTGGATCAGCTTGTCCACCGCAACTTGGCTGTAGGAATACAGAGACTGGCAAGGCTAGGAAAGAACAAAGCCTACTTTAAAAAGGGGGGGGGCCTTCTGGGTTCATGGCATTCCTGCCCCTCACCCCCCGTTTTCACCAGCCGCCAGCCCCGAGAGGTTCAGCCCGCTGCTCCACCATCTCTGCCGGCAGCCCTAGCTGAATGTCAGAGGGTGGCCCTTTATTGGGAGAAAGGTAAAGGTAAAGGTTCCCTCTGCCGGCAGCCCTAGCTGAATGTCAGGGGGTGCCCCTTTATTGGGAGAAAGGTAAAGGTTCTCCTTGACAATTTGTCCCCTTGACAATCCAGTCGTGTCCAACTCTAAGGGGCGGTACTCATCTCTCTTTCCAACCCATAGAGCTAGCATTTGTCCGAAGACAATCTTCCGTGGTCACGTCACCAGCATGACTAGACAATAGGTGGTACCTATTTATCTACTCGCATTTTTGCTTTTTGCATGCTTTTGAACCGCTAGTTTGGTGGGAGCTGGGACAAGCAACAGGGGCTCCGTCGTGTGGATTCGATCTTACGACTGCAAGTCTTCTGACCTTGCAGCACAGAGGCTTCTGCGGTTTAACCCGCAGCACCACCACGTCCCCGCTACTGGGAGAAAGGTGGGGTGTAAATTAATTAAATAAACAAGTAAGACACTCTGCAAAGGCGAGAGGGAGATGAAAGCACCTTGACCCACCACGGAAGATTCTCAGAAAAAGGGTGAGAGTGAGGAGCATTCCAGAGCGAAGCTGCCCCAGAAGACAGGTGTGTCTTCCTCTTACGCAAAGCAGGCAGGATGTGGAGGGGGCCCTCTGCCGAGGACTGCAGTGGGGAAGTGGGCTCCCAAGGGAAAGGGGCAGTCCTTGTCAAATTGCCTAGCAGACTTTAAAAGCAGGCTCTGAGGAGCCCGGTGCGCTGTCCAGACTTTGCAAACGGGCCTTTCTAACCTGCCGGGGGCGGGGGGGGGAATGCTCTCAACCTCATCATGACAGAAAAGAAAGCAAGACCCAACGGGTTCCTTACCGGACAGAGGAGGAGATCTCTCGGCAGCAGCTTGGCTAACAAGGAGACCTTGTCGTACAGCTCATGTTGGACCAAGATGACATCCTGGAGCTGCTCGGGGCTTCCCAGGTAGGGCAGGATCTCCACCAGAAGGGCATTCACCGCGCAGGCTGAAAAACAGCACCAAGGCGGAGGACCTTCAGCATCTCCCAGCCACGTCTGGCCTCTCCTCGTCTTTCCAGAGCACCTCCATTTGGGCACTCAGGGGCTTTGTAAGAAATACAACGGGCTCGTTCTCTCTGCGCTCATCAAATCATCGATGGGGAGCATGTCGGGATCCAAGCCAGCAGGCAGGGAAGTCCCACGCAGCCTGGTTTTGCTGTTACGCCCCTAAGGATCATTGTTACGTTCATAACGCCTGACAGGGCTTCCAAAAATGTCCACGTGAAGAACAGGTTCTACCGAGGCATTTGCAACGCGAAAGAGAAGGCCCGTTCCTCTCAGCCTTGCTGTCCTTTCAAGGGGCGCCAACGGTCTCAAGGGGCGCCAAGAAATGCTGCCACAGGACTTGAACCCAAACCCTTTGCACCTCGCCCCCCCAAGGGATGGGCACAATCCCCTGTACATCTAGGCTGGCAAGAGCCACAGAAGGCCGACTGGCCAGAGGCTAGGGGGACCCATCACTGGCTGGCCTACACAACCAAATGGACCGAAGGTTCGTATACTCACCAACCTCCGTTTTTTTTAAAGGTTAAGAATCAAAAGACCGGGTTGTCCACCCATTGCTTTCGTTTTCCTCTTTAAAAGTTGGGGAGTTTGGATCGAAATGAGCACCCGAAGGCCCTCGACACCTCTCACCCTTGGGCCAAGAAGAAGCTAGACCCCTGGCATGACTCCACGGATGTCTGAACTCACCTCCCACGGCTTCCTGGATGAAAACCGGGAGGAGGGCCGTGCTGCGCTGGCTCAGCTCCCTCACGGCCGCCTCCGTCCTCTTGGGAGCCACCAGAACGTCCCCCAACGAGAGGCGGTAGAGGGAGACGCAGCGCCGCAGCAGGAAGAGGCTGTGCAGCACCACGTCGCGCACCCGGCCGGAAAACCCCGCGTCGTAGTTCCGCAGCAGCAGCTCTTCGGTCAGCCAAGCAAAGTCCTGGATCAGCCGGGAAAGGAAGACTCCCTGGAAGAAGACGGGGCCCCGAGAAGAAGCCAGGAAAGCAGGGGTGGGATTACTGTCTAAACCAGGGGATCCCAACCATTTGTCCCCAGAAGAAGTTCTTGGACTAGAACTCCCAGAAATCCTGGCCAGCACAGCTGGTGGAGGTGGCTTCTGGGAGTTATAGTCCAAGAACCTCTGTTTTGCCCCAGGTTGGGAATGGCTGCTCTGACCCATTCGGAATCTGCAGTGCCTAGGCTTCGTCCCCAAGCCCTCTTCTGCAGGAGGGAGCCACATTTTTAATTAGGGTTGCTACCCTGGCTCTGCGTTCTCCGCGCCAAGCTTAGAAATAACGCAGCGGGTTTAACATTAAATCCATTACTTTTGCCTTAAACAGGAGAGGATCCAGCTCTGATGCCACTGAGGCGTCTCATCTTTTTAAAAGCATGTTTTGAAAATAATGGTGGGTGATGTTTCAAGAAAAATGAGATTAGTAACATTAATGTTACTCTCAATATGTTAAACATTAGGTGCATCAGTGGCCCTTCCTCCCACTTAATGCAAAGTAACCAATTTAAAAAGAGTACATTACAGCTATCCCATTATTTCTAAGCTCTGCCTCCATGTAAATATAACAGCGGGTCACCCGCTGCATTTTATTCCACGTTATGCTCTTGAATCAGCTGCATCTGATTTTCCTCTTTACTCCCAAAGTGAAAGCCAGGGTGTATTAGATTTAGATCCCTCCTGCCATCGGTGTTTGCCTCCTTCAGACCATCCTTAAGTCAGCCTGGCTCCGTAAGACAGTGGTCCCCAATGTTGGGCCTCCAGATGTTCTTGGACTACAACTTCCAGAAGCCTTCATCACCGCCTCTGCTGGCCAGGATTTCTGGGAGTTGAAGTCCAAGAACATCCGGAGGTCCGAGGTTGAGGACCACTGCCGTAAGAGAAGAAAAGCAGCTGGGACTGCCCAAACAAGGGCCATTTTGTCATTATGTGGTGATGACGCCAGCCACGCGCCTGATTATTCGGGCGAGACACAGAGACAAGCTCCTTGTCCGGTTGGACCATGAGACATTCCAGTTTTACAGGCACCGACCAAACCGATAGGAGCGAAGCTGCTGCTTGTCTTTCTCCAGGCTCTGCTTCCCTAAAATCAGCGTAAATCATGGCCTTCCTCTCAGGCAGAAAAAGAAAAATATGATTCTCCCACCCCTCAGGCAGAGACTTCTTTCCCCGATAAGCAAAACCTGGGTTTGAATGGGGGCAAACGCCAGTTTTCCGCCACGCTTTAAAAGGGCCTGAAATCCCCAATGCCTTTTTGGACGGCAAAACAACTTCTCGAAAGAGAACTGGCCCCAGTGGCCACTTTTTCTTTCTTACCTCCCGGTGCTTGTGCAACAGAAGGGCAGCCATGATCTCCGCAGCCATGATGGCAGAGCAGGACACGCCGGCTAGAAAAAGCAAGGAAGGGAGAATCTCAGAGGGAAGGGGTCAGCGGCTGGTGTCTCAGAGGCCCTGATAAAAAAAATATTCAGCCAGAAAAGGTGCTATCGATCAATAGGCCACCAACATGGGAGCAAACCACACATTACATTTTATACCAAGCCAGCCACCTCGGCTTGACCCAGCTTTGTGGGTTGACCCCCGGGGAAACAGATTGGCAAGAAAGGGATTTATTTGTTTATTTTATTTAAAATGTTTCTACCCTCTGCCTTTCTCCTTAAAAAGGACCCAAGGCGGCTCACGTCCTTAAAAGACAATATTCAAAACCAAAAACAAAAAGTATAGAAATATTAAAAGTGAACAAACAGATGCCACTCTGAGAAATGGTAAACAAAAAGCAATACTAAAAAACACGATGCAAGCAGTGAGGCACAACCGTTCATGTAAAAAACCCCGCTTAGGGAGCCAGTCATTACGGGAAAGCTTGCCTGAAGAGGAAGGTCTTGACCCACTTGGAGAAAGACAGCCAAGATGGGGCCAGCCTGGCGGAAAGCTTGCCTGAAGAGGAAGGTCCTGACCCGCTTGGAGAAAGACAGCCAAGACGGGGCCAGCCTGGCCTCCAGTGGCAGGGAGTTCCAGAGTCCGGGAGCAGCAGCCACAGAGAAGGCCCTCCTCTCCCGCGTCCCCACCAAGGGCACCTGCGAAGGTGGCCTGACCCTGAGCCAAGGAAAGCTCTCGGCGTTACTCAGAGGGAACTCCCAAAGGGTGCCGCCCCTGGCACCCCAGGGGGAACCCCCCAGGTAGCCCTCTTCGCTTTGGGGCCGTGAGTGGGGAACCCCAAGGGCACCCACGTCCTCTTCTTTAGTAAAAACAGGGCACTGCGAAGGATGGGAAGAGCTTCCGCCAAAGTCTTGTAGATCGTTAAAGGCGGAGAGCGTTGATGCCATGAGACCGCTGCCTGTCAAGAACTTCCAAGCCCTTGCAAGAAATGCTTCTCCGGCATGACAGCAAGGCAACTAGCACTGGGTTTTGTGGGTGGGGTGGGGATTGCACCGTTCCCAGGAATATCTCCAGCACATCTTCCCTCTGTGAAGCAAAGGGAACGCAAAGAAGAGGTGCAAAAGCACAGCTTCTAAGCACTCAGAAGGAGGCCCGGGCAATGCTTCTGCTTTTAATCATCTACAGAGTAGGGTGCCAGTTGCCGTTTTCCACCTTGCAACAAGGAAAATAATCCTGGCCCTTATGGCTTTGGTGCAACAGGATGAACTAGGTCGGAATTCATATTCCTCGGCACAGTCTCCCAGGAATACTGGCCACAATCAGCCAGTTACGAATGCATTTGGGCAGAATATAAAGAAAACAAAACAATACTTTTATTGCCTTTTCTACATGGGTGTGCTCTCATAGTATGCGTGTGACTTGCTACTGCTAATTGTGGCTAATCGACATGGCATCGGGGCATGTCTCTGCAACATACCTGGCCATGTGCCCACCCGCAGAACCAAGACTCCTCATCAACTAGCCACTGCTCGGCAGAGCAAGTTGGACAAGCCTTCTGCGAACACCAACAGGGTTTAAGCCATCATGCCTTGCGTTGTCACTTGTTAGGGTCCTCAGTCATTGTGAGATTCTCTTGCACAAGCCACAGACTCACAAAAGCCCTGCACTATTAAAAAGAGCCTTTGGCTGGGAGGGGACGAAGCAAGCTTGCTTCTAAGCTGCACCAAAACGAATGGAGGCTTTTTGTTGCCAGCTAATTGTCCCTGTGATGGTGTCACCTGGATTTTAGCTCCAACCTTGTGACCAAATGGCAGAACAAAAGGAGGGGGGGCGTTCTGGAGAGGGCCTGAAATGTGATGGTTTCAAAGGGTCAGAGAGAAAGAGAGAGAGGAGACAGAAGATCAGTGATGGAGCCCTCCAGCAGCTCCTAACATTTAGGAAATAACAAAGCATTGAACAAGGAAACCAGCCTTTGTTAAAAGGTCACTTGACAAACAGAGAAAAACAAAGCCAGATGTGGCTTTCTTTTTCTTTTGTTTTCCCTTCCTAGCAAACTCTCCAAAGGGATTTTTTCCCCTATTCTTTTCTCCCAACACTTGTGTCTTACTTGGTGAGAGATGCAAAAACAAAAACAAAAACAAAACCCATCTCTTAAATTCTCTGTTCCCGCCAATTTAGGCTGCCTGGACTTGATGAGACATCTTGAACAAGGATATTCAGCTCTTCGCAAGATTCTGTGCTACTAGATCAAGCGGGAAGCATGAATGGGTTTGCCACACAGAGAGAGAGACATCTTTGGAGTAACTTCTGTCCATGGTCCACACAAAACTCGAGTCCTTCCCTTGGAGAAACAAAGTGTGTGTGCTCAGACACACACCATATGTATAAAACTGGCTGACTGATTTTTTTAAAAAGTCACAAGCACCCTCTCCTAAGCTTCTAATCCTCAAAACTCCATGGAACAAAGCAGCCAACATGGTCACTGTGTGCAAGCTGCGTTGCTTGTGTTAAAGCACTAGTCTGCACATTTTTTTCCAATTTTTCTTTTTGTCCAGAATGCAAAAACAAACAAATAAGAAACTGCTCTTTGTGAGCCCCACTGACATGCTTTTCCCCCCATTTTCTGCTCCATATCTGATGGTACCCGGGGCATCTCATGGTGTATCTCATTCTTCCGTTACTGTTAGGCAAACCAAGAACGAAGCACACAGTCCCTGTTTTACAGAAAGGGTTGTTTTTTTAGCCTTCCTGCTGGGGTCCAACCAGGGCAGCACTGGGGTTTTATGCAGAAGCTTGGGTTTAGCACATGGTCCTCAGTCCCTCTTCAACAAACGTACAGTATCTTTTTGTGCAAGGCCGGACAAGCAATATCCTTATCCAATAGATACACATGCGTGCATATACACATATGTTATGCTCGCATGCCCTCTGCATGCATGCTAGCCAGTATAATGCCATACCATTGAGTTTCCCATAGAAGGCCATGACCAAGGAGGGAAGTCCAGCCAACAGGAGAGGGGGAAACACAGGGAGTCACAGGTCATCTCTGCTGAAAGCTTTACTCCAGAAACACAAGATGGGGATGATTAATACAAGGCTGATTACTACATTAAGCGAACAGGCAAATATCAGGTTTGCTGGACTGTCTCTACTGCTTTTGTTGCCGAAGGAATGGATGACAACTGGCTTGTTTTCTTCGTCTGCTTTTCTTGCAAAGGGATGTGTCTCAGCAAGACAGGCTTTTCCCAGGCAAACTTCTCCCCCACTCCCCCCACAGCTCCAGATTATTTGGGGGGGGGGGGGAAGAGAGAGAGAAGCAGAAGGAAGAAGAAACTTATGAGCCATTTGCAGCAAGTCACGCAGCCTATGCATTAGTGCAGACGGAACAGTTCAGGCATTATACTAAAATAACTGATAATTGGAAAGTTACATCCACACTCTGAGAGAACAGCAATAAACGGAAAAACACACCTTGACACGTGAGTCGCATCTTTTATGTAACCGGGAGGCTGTGACTGTCGTGGTAGGCAAGTTAATGAGATTTGTGAGACAGAAAAAGCTGCCGGGTGGTTCAACCGAGAGCCAGAAGGAAATTCTCCACTCTGTAGGAAGTGGGATCAATTTGCTTGCCTTCCCACTGGAACATGGCAAGCCCCCTTGTACTCCTTGTGAGTTTGGGGTCCAGGAGAGACCATCCAGGTGGCTGGGAGAGCTGCCCCTTCAGAGGTACTTCCAAAGTGCAGCTTCACTTAAATTGTTTGAAATGTGGGGCTGAAGCAGCTTTGCAGATACTCTGGACCGCCAGAAAGACAAAAAAAGTAGGTCCTAGAACGAATCAATCCTGAACTATATCTCTGGAGGCAAAAATGTGGAAACTGAGGCTGTCCTGCTTTGCCCCCCTCATGAGAGGGCAGGAATCTCTGGAAAAGAGCATAACGCTGGGAAAAGGTGAAAGGCAGCAGGAAAAGAGGGAGACTCAATGGGAGATGGACTGACTCCCTAAAAGAACCCACAAGCTTTTGTTTACAAGAGCTGAGCAGGGCTGTCGAGGGCAGGACATTTGGACATTCGCTAATTCAGTCGGAGATGACTCAACAGCACACAATAACATCAAACGCCCCTACGTTCCTCTTCAGCGTGGACTGGGTGGAGGGATTGTTCCTGTTGATCCAGCATCATCAGCAAAGGACCACCTTTCGAAATGTGGGTAGGGTTGTAGAACCCACTCAGGGCCAGTCCAAAGCCTATGGCTATTCGGCAACAGGAAAGTCACTTTTTAAAAACATTTTCCGACGGCTGTTTCAAATGGCTCAAGTTTTTCCTCTCCTTTTGGAAATTCAGAATTTAGTCCTCCCACTGAACTCTCAGCACCTAAATCCCTCCCTGAAAATTACAAACAAAAGCTGCATAATCCTTCTGGGAAGTCCAAAACAAGGGCGCCTAACACCTGATCAGGCCTCGAAAATATGAAACCCAGCAAGCCTTCCCGTCCTGTGGGGCCATTCTCCTTCTGGGTTTCCAGGTTTAGAGAGAGAAGGGGTTCAGGCCAGATGTTCAGGTTTCAGCTCTACATCTAAACTCCCTGCTGTTTCTCAAGCCAGCAAGCTGGTGGGGAAATTAACAGCTGGTCTGTAGGCGTCTGCCTGAGAGAAACCTGTAGCCTCAACAGAGAAACAGGATTCTTCTCTTTGCCAGGATGATGCTGGCAGGGACACAAAGTCAGACCACATGAACGGGGCACGTACAACCAGAAGTTGGGCTAAGCCTTCTGCCCTCCTCCATGCCTGTCATTCCTTCACCCATCCTTGAGTTTTCTGCCAGGGAATGGCGGGACCCAAAGAAGCTGCCCTATAGTGGCTTACCACCGTCCGTCCTCACCTGGAAAACCAACTTAGTTGACCAAAGGCCCTCTCTGCACCAACAGTCTTAGGAAGATGGAAGCTGCCCCAAACCCTGAGATGGGGCTTCTCACGACCACCACACATTTTCTCCAAGCTAGAAATGGGAGCCACGCGCCGCCTTCCGAGCCACCTCCAAGATTTTTGGGAGAAAACGAGGGATTCTTACCTATCACGGAGTGCAGGCTCAGATTGTCCACCACCGCCTGTTGCTCTGAGCTTAGTGCGACGACGCCTGGCGATCCTGGCAACCTGGGTTGGCTTTTCTCGCGATCCAGTGTGCTAGAGCTTAGTGGACACGAACAGAAAGGGGGCCACTTCTTAAATCAACCATCCAAACCATTAGATCCCGGCCGTGAAAGCCTTCGCGAATACATAGGCTTCTACTTCTTCTGTAAATGTTAAACCCACATTTCTTCCAAAGTAATGCAGAAAAACACACAGAGCGAACACAACCTTGTGCACCACCCATCCTTGAGTTTTCTGCCAGGGAATGGCGGGACCCAAAGGAGCTGCCCTGTTGTGGCTTACCACCGTCCGTCCTCACCTGGAAAACCAACTTAGTTGACCAAAGGCCCTCTCTGCACCAACAGTCTTAGGAAGATGGAAGCTGCCCCAAACCCTGAGATGTGGCTTCTCACGACCACCACGGACTTTCTCCAAGCTAGAAATGGTTGAGTTTTCTGCCAGGGAATGGCGGGACCCAAAGGAGCTGCCCTGTTGTGGCTTACCACCGTCCGTCCTCACCTGGAAAACCAACTTAGTTGACCAAAGGCCCTCTCTGCACCAACAGTCTTAGGAAGATGGAAGCTGCCCCAAACCCTGAGATGTGGCTTCTCACGACCACCACGGACTTTCTCCAAGCTAGAAATGGGAGCCACGCGCCGCCTTCCGAGCCACCTCCAAGGTTTTAGGGAGAAAACGAGGGATTCTTACCTATCACGGAGTGCAGGCTCAGATTGTCCACCACCGCCTGTTGCTCTGAGCTTAGTGCGACGACGCCTGGCGATCCTGGCAACCTGGGTTGGCTTTTCTCGCGATCCAGTGTGCTAGAGCTTAGTGGACACGAACAGAAAGGGGGCCACTTCTTAAATCAACCATCCAAACATAAAAATAAATAAATACTAAATCTTTGCCACTGGCTGGGCTGGGCTTCTACTCCTTCTGTAAATGTTAAGCCCACGTTTCTTCCAAAGTAATGCAGAAGAACACACAGAGCGAACACAACCTTGTGCACAATGAATCCTCAAATAGTCCTATCAGGTAGAAATCGGGCTAAGAGAGGATGACTAGTCCATGCTTACCTGATGCATTTCGTACCTGGGTACCACAGACCTGTTCCTCCACTAAAGGGCCATTGGGACTCAGCAGGCAAATGTCCAACAGCAGATCAAGAGTGGGGAAAAACGCTTTGGTCCCCCATCCTTGTTCAGCGACACCTCTGTCTTGGGCTTGTCATATACTCAGCTTAACAAACCACAGGGCATTTGCTGTGGCCTTAAGGGGGTGAGGAAAGAAAACCATGTGCACCATTTCAAAGTGCGTGGAGAACTAACTGGTGAGAGGTAGACGTAATCCACCATGTCCACCCAGGTACTCTGACTCTCGAGACTTCTTTGTGTGAATTCTGCACATGGTGATTTGAGTCCAAACGCTTAAGCCCTCAGGAGCCACCTCAACGGCTGGAGAACGGATTTTTTCGGCTTGTGGCCTATTGAGATCTGGAATCTCAGCCACCTTGCTCCACGCTGATTCTCTCCAGATGTGCGGGATCACGACTGTCACAATTCCACAGTCAGCACAGCACATCTGAAAGGGATGAGCTTGAGAGAGGTGGTCTAGAGACTATGGGAATTTGTCTAAAATACCGATACCAGGATACAGTATACCCAAACTCAGTTTTAGTATAATTGCAATCCCCATCGAAGAGACCATGCCGACTTAATAAAGGCACAGGCCCAGAATATTTCCACAAATATTCCAGAAACATTCACAAGTAGTATAGAGTTTCCTCTGTAATTCCATTTTCTTGCCCATTCGCCTTCAGGAATGTGGGCCAGGCGATGATGGTCAAAACATAAACCCAACATAGGAGCCAGAAGCTAAAGGCCATACATCAGGGCCCGGGAAGGTATACATAAACATACCAAAAGATAAGGGGAAATGGATACACTTTCCTCCAGACTTTGAGGCGCATCCCAGTCGTAGGTCAAAGGAAGACGGGGCACCACATATGCATATCTATAGGGAACCAATAGATCAGTACAATTGGCATCATTATCCAATAAGGGACTAGATCCAAACTTTGGGTAAAGGGAGCCAATAGAAAGATAGAACTTTATGACTCTTTGTATTATTATAAAACATTGGTACACTGTATCTTCAGGGTCTTCTCTGCTTTTAAGAGAAGTCCCAGTAGACGTTTTCTTGGTTGTTTTATCAATAAAATTGGACTTTTGGTTCAGGTGGCTGCGTCTGCCTGACTCCTTGTCGGAGAAAACCGGGTAACAGGTTTTGACCTGTAACAATACGGTGATGTGTGGATCGGTCTGCATTCAGGAGGTGGCCCACCCCTACAGGTCCATCCAGCGAGTCTACCGAACCACCTGGAGGATGAACAAGGTGACTGTCCTATGGGTTTTATAGATAAAACCCAATGGCTGCTTCCTTGAATCAATGAAACTGATGGTTGACTTGGCAGGTTTGGGTTGAGTCAATGGGTCTAACTTTAGTTGGGACAAGTAGCTAGACTGACACCTATAAAGTCACCTTCTTCTCAGGCTTTTGAGAGTTTCTACTCTGTAATCGATGGAAATCCCACTTTGCAGTCACCGATATTGAAGGAAAGATGTCTTGATCATCATGTCTGGATCATTCCAGGAGGAAGGGACTCCATGGAGAGACACACTGATTTGGCTCTAGAGCCTCCTGAAACACGTTCATGTCCTTATTAACCACTGATGTCTGTATTCTGACTGACTGCCAAAATCTGGCACTCAGTGAGGCTGAAAGAGTAGTCAATTCAAAAACCGACACAATTAAAACACAAGAATAGATTAAAAACATAATTAAAATACTTAATTTTTTAAAAAAAGAAATAGCACCCGGCTCCCTGAAATTAGGGCGATGTTTGAAAAATATTAATATTATGAAAACAAAGAAGGTAATCGTGAACAGGATCCAATTTCCACAGGGTAGCCATGGAAACTCAACTTGGGGGTGGCATTAAACCACTCCTCGAACACCCTGTGGACCTAAAAAAAAACACCGTTTAGGGCTGCCATGATTTGGAAGGGGCTTGATGGCGCCTGGAAATAGCCATTTTAGACCCACCGTGTTAGACCGCATCCAAAGCTGGCGATCATGGCTGCTCAAGAGTCCGCTATAAAAAACGGACATTTCCAATCTCGTTCATGAAAGCCACTTTGGCTACTAAATGCTGAATGTGTAGTCCCTCGGAAGCACACTGTGGGTGCGGGGTGTGTATGTCATCTCTGCCCTCAAGTCTAAACTGACTTCTGCTGGCCCAGATTAAAATTGGAAAGCCCAGCGATGTGCCTAACAAGGGCCCTCAAAACAACACAGGAAAGTTACCATTGGCCACAAATCTGGGGTAAAAGGAACTCCTCAGCGGACCCTCCCGAGCTGCTCTTCCGGTAGAAGTCGGTGACTACATACTCCTGGGGAGAAAGGAACACACGTGTGTGGGTGGCAACCTGTTCCTACACAACAGGCAGGTCCTTGCCCGACCCCTCTTTCTGCAGACCTTTCTGCAGACCTACCAACCGTACCTGCAAAGAAGCAGGCTGAGCGAAATCAACCCGGACGCAGCAGCCGGACCCTTGGCGGACAGCTTGGCAGAGGGCCCAGAGGGAGGTCCAGAGACCAAGGGGCTTGGCGGGGTTCTTAAAAAAAAAACAGAATATAAAAAGGCACTGGATCCGCTGATAACTGCTGGAGGTCGTTTATGCTACCTTAAGGTAGACCCAAGATGACGCAGGCAGTAAAATAACATGCTTGGTGCAACTTAAGCAATATTTTTGAATGCCTCATTTAAAAGAAAAAGAAGAAGCAGCAGCAAACATACAACCTCCTTGGCAAGTAAAATCTAGCACTTCAGGTTAGATCCTAGCCCAGTCTGCTTGCTCCCTGCTACACTAGATTCCCCACTTGCAGAGTCTTTTTGGGTTTGGCCAGGAAAGAATACAATTCCTTCCTTGCAAGGGTCCATGCCTTCATTTCAATGGCCAGACCTTCATCTCTTTAATTCACTGTTTAGTGTTCTGCTGTTACTTCCCACCCAAGTAGACCCAAGGACTCAATGGGTCTACTCTCCGTTGGGACCAGCAACAGGACAGTGGCCACCATGGTGCAGGCTGGGAGCTTCAAATGATTGTCTTTGCATAGGCAAAACAAGAGTACCCACATTGCAATAGGAGAAGGATCAGCGGCCTGTGGGGAATACCGAAATTTGCAGAGATATGGAATTGCTTTAGGATGAAAAAATATCAAGAGAAAAAGCTGCCCTCCCTCAAAATACTCCCTCCACCCGATGAGGACTGTGCCTACACTTTGGCCATGCAAGGCTATCTGGCTGCTGGAGAAGGGAACAGAACGTCAGAGGCGGAAGAGGAAATGAAACAGAGTATTCCCGACAGGGCACGGCTCGCTTCCAAAGTGGAGCGCTCCACAGAGAAACATTCTGCACCCCTACTCACGTCTTGCCTATACAGCTATTAAAACCGTTCTTCTCCGGTCCTAGCCGCAGCGATTCTTACCCCTTGCCCCCTGCAAAGCACATTGGGAGCGAGATCATACGAGATCCCGACCGGCACCATCATGACATCCGGGGCGGCGCCGGCGTTGAAAGCACGGACGACCAAGCTCAGCCATTCCAGGCCAGAGGCAGAGCGCTGCGGCACCCCAGCGCACAGCTCTTCCAGGAAAACGAGCAAGGGCTGTCGGCGCCGAAGCAGGTCCTCGACATACTGCGGAGGAGAAGAACACAGGTTAGGGGGGTTCAGGGGACGTCCGCCCTTCCCTAACAGAAAGAACCAAGCCCTACTTTCTTAGTTTTGCAATCCTCCTTTAGAAGGTAGAAAAATCCCTGATCTTCATTTAATCCTAAACGCATAGATGAATATTTGCTAATAAATTTTATTTGAAGGCTATGCGTCTACCATACACTGGTCTTGTTTAATGACTAATGCATACTTTTTTGTGTATAGGCATTTTTTTTTAAGGCAAAGATGTGTGATATGCATGTGAAGACAGGACTGAAGGTTCGTAGGCGATGTCTGACAAAATAGCAGAGGCACAAAAGACAAGATAAGATCTGCAGCAATGGTGTGTGGGGGGGAATGTGTCAGTGCCCCTCAAAGCTGCTTGGTTTCACCTGAGATGAGCAAAACCAGGAAAAAAAGATCTCTAAAGCGATATGTATGGCATTTAAAAAACCCTGCAACCTCTTTTAAGATGCATAATTTACGTAAGTTGCAGAATCTGTGTTTTCTTGGTCACTAACGTGGAAGGCCAGAAGACAGGATGTTAATTTTGTTGCAGAGTTCTGAATTTTTGGTCAAATTCCTCCAACTGCACAGCAGAAGAGCAGGGACTCACAGAGCAGAATAGCTTCAAGTCCCCCAGTTCAAGTTCGACCACTCCTTTCCTCCTTAACTGGACTTACTGTCTCACTCTGAGACATTGGTAGGCGAAAGAATAAAAGGTTTTATTACTTATAATTGACCAGATGAAACAGCAAACTGTCGAACATGACTGCTTTCAACAACAGACTCAGTTTTCAACAGACCAATGAGAGGGAAAAAGAGAATAAGCAGAGAGGCGGGGCTCTCTTTGAATTCAGAAGCAGGGAAGGAACGATTGGTTAGTGCTGGAGAGACTGACAGTCACCCCAGCTCAGAACGATGTCCCCCAGCCAAACCTGCATGCGTGGTTGCAAAAACTTCAACAAATGTTGGTGTCCGTGGTGCAAGCACAGAAACATGCAAAGACAAAAAACACACAAAGGGACACATACAGAGTACAGTTCATCGTCAGCCCTGGCATTCAAGACTAGCTAACGGGTTTGAACAAGCCCTGTCTTCTCATGTATCCTGTATACTAGAAACTGGTATCCCAGCATGTCTGACCATCCAGACTCCCCAAAAGGCAGGCAGAGCATGCAGCAACACATAGGCAGTTCCAGCGGGAGGACATCTGGGCTCCAGCGGAAGCCCCGGGAAGCTCAGGTTCCAACAGGTCCTTCCCTCTTCCCTCCTAAGCCAAAGACTGAGGATCAACCTTCCCTTCTTCCTTCTGCTACACGTTCAGAATTGTTCCGTACACATCACTGGCAGACAACTTGGAGCCGAGACCAGAAAGCCCTCCTTTTCCGGCATTTAACACAGAATCCATCACTGCACCTAACATGTAGCCATCATCCCAATGGGCTTCTCCAAGCCAGAGGCCCTTAGCCGTGACAGCTAGTCTCCTTCCCGTTATCAGCCCCTTGCGGGCCAGCATCAGGGCCGGGCTGCCTCCATCGCGCTCGGCTTATGAGCTTCAACAGCCCCTGGCACAGAGGCGCCCGTTTTTCAGCGCTTGGCTCGGAGGAACGAGGTTACCCACTCCCTGCCCAAACAAATAAGAGGGTATGGGGGGAGAGAACCACCTGATCCAGCCAAATAAAGCCAAAGCCGTTTGGCACCCATGGTGTGCACACACGTGCACACACACAGACACACACACAGATACAACCCAGGGCATCTGCTGAAACACAGCTGGCCTGTCACCGTGTAGCCCTGCCAAGCACAGCAAGACTGAAGTGAGATGAAATGATGCACTTCCCGCAAGGTATCTGGCAGAGAAAGAAGGAGATCATCATCACAACTTCTGAATGAAATTATATATTTTTTCCCCTGGCGGATACAGCCAGGGCTGCAAAGTCTGCTCCCCAGCGAAAGTAAAAGATCAAACTGTCTTTTGATGCTGGATTGAAAAGAACATGGAGGACCGTTCTGGCCGGTTACTTGGATGGTCGGCAGACTTGGGGGGGTGGGAAGCACAACCAAGCCCTTCCTTCTGATGCTTCCTGAGGAATGAACGGCTCCTATTGGGACACCTCAAAGGCAGCATGTGGCCCATCCAGCTTTTTCTCCCCAAAACTTTTTTTTCTTGATGTTTGTTTTGCTTTGGTTTTGGTGGAAAGAAATGAAGGGGAGGAAACAGGCATGGAAGGACGGGAGAGTTCAAAGCTGAAGTACGGCACATTTCGACCCCTCTGTAAAGTTTGGTGATGAAGGCAAGGCAATTTCCCAATGACAGCTTGGTCAGAAAGCACACACGCACACGTGCACACACAGAGTCCGATTCACCAAATCCTATTTCAACTTGGGAGGAAATGTAATACATCAGTACAGTATTATTTGCTGACACACCTGAACTGCAAAACGCTGACAATCTTTGATAATTTAAAAAAAGAGTTTCAGCCAGCATGGGGAGGACAGGAAGAAAACAAAGATTAAGTGAACCTGCCTGGCTCCGTAATACGATGAGCGAGAAGGACCTTGTTATAGCTCACAAGCTGAATATGAGCCAACAGTGCGATGCGGCGGCATAAAAGGCCAATGCTATTTCAGGATGCACTAAGAGAAGTACAGTCTCCAAATCCTGTGAAGTACTAGTCTCTATCTATCTGACACAGGTTAGACCTCATCTTGAGTACTGTGTCCAGTCCTGGATGCCCCATTTTAAGAAAGATGTCCACATATTGTAACAGGCTCAGAGCAGGGCAACAAGGAGGATGATCAGGGGGCTGGAAATCAAGTCCTAGGGTGGAAAGACTGAAAGAATTGGGCCTGCTCAGCCTTGGGGGAAAAAGACAGAGGGGTGATAGGATAACACTTTTCAAATACTTGAAAGGCTGTCCTATAGAGAAGGGGCAGGCAATGTTCTTGATCATTCCAGAGGGCAGTAAATCTCATAATAGGCTCAAATGACATGAAGCCAGATTTTGGCTGAATATCCGGAAAAAATTCCTAATGGTTACAGTAGTACAACAGTGGAACCAATAACTGCAGGAGGTGGTAAGCACTCCAACACTGGAGGCATTCAAAGGAAACTTAGACAATCATCTGTCAGATACACTTTGATGTGGATTTCTGCTTTGAGTGGTTGGACTTGATGGACTTATAGGCCCCTTCCAACTCTATTATTCTATGAAGTTTGTTGTGTTCTTGTTTAATCACTGCATTCTTAGGAAGCCAACAAAATTAAGCTGTATATAGTCCTACAACATTACTGTTGAAATCTGATGGAAGGAGGTCCATTCCTCTATGACTGGCCACTAGAAAAGCTAGAGGTTCTGCATTCTTATGATGAATTAGGAAACATCTGGTATACAACACAGTGTTCAGCATAGATCGCCCTTGGGTCAAGGGAGAGTCCCATACAAGCTGCGTATAGCTCTTCAGACCTGTTCCCCAGACAACCTTCCCCCTTTCAATGGATTCACATTCTCACAAAGCCAAAAAGGATATCTGAAGCACTTCAACTTATTTAAAAGCCTTGCTTTGCACTCCTCACAGCTACATGAGTCATAATCTGAAGCAAGTTCTTAAGACTTGTGACACCTACAGGACAGGGGCTATGGTGAAGGAGCCCCTGTAAGATTTCTGCAGGTCCCTGGCCCTGTTAAAACATGGTTACAAAACAGGCTGGCCCATTCATGGGTAACATTAGCCATGCCCACAGGTTGTCCACACCTACACCTTGATGATGTTCTGCATGCCAGCCCTGGAAAGTGAATGGGTCAGTCAGTACACAGGAGACAGGCTGTTTCAGTGTTGATGGCCGCCCAGAGGACAATCCGTGCATAAATAAGGATTTCTGCAAAATCCAGGCAGAGAAACTCTGAAGCTCCCCCAGAGACAGGCAAGGAAGATGGAGGAGATCCTAAGCAAACACGCCGGGAAGAAGGACAAGTTTTTATCTCCACTACAGCAGCTCAGGGTCTCAGCCCCAATCCTTCTCAACCCCCAGGGAGAACTGGCTGCTAAAGGAGAGATAAGCCGAGATTAACCTCCAGCTTGCTCGCTCTGCCTGGCTTGGAGAAGCGTCCAAGTTCTTGGCTGTCACCGTCTGCCTCGGAGCCAACAGAGATCTCATCCTGAATCTCCCACGTCACACCTCTCCCCAGATTGAACAAGGGTTGCCGGGGAAGGAGTTTCACTATGTTGGCCCCCACCACGGCAACTCTTCCGTTTCAGGTCATGCAGCCTTCGTGGGACTTATCATAGTGGACGTTAGAAATTCGGCAGCAGGCCAGAAGTCTCTGCCGGAGCGGCCCATGTCACTACGTTGGTTCACCCCTGCTTCCAAGAGGAAGAGACCCACGCCATAATGCAGAGGCTGACACCAGGGAACGGCCAGAATTCTAACAGTTAACCAGGGACGTTGGCAAGTCTTTGGGGTCCGAGGCCCAAATCCAAGTCTGACTCTTTAGTACCAAGTACCAAGCTTTTCCCCCCAGATTTTTTTTTTAAAAAAGGAAGGGTGGCTGGTTTCTGAGTTGTGAGTCAAGTCATTAAGAAAAGAAAACTAGTGAAGTCCACGTCCAGTTGAAGGCGCATCTCAAGTCTGACTTGACAGATGCAGGAAGGCCACATGACTTGAGGTCAAGGGACTCGCTATCAAGTCCGACTTGCTATCCAGTCTGTCCAGTGAGATCCATTTCCCCAGCAATCACATTGTGCATGGGGAAAACGCACTCACGTCTGACCCCAATCCATGCCCAAGCTGGTGGGGGGTTTTTGGCCCAGTTGTAGCGTTCTTACTTTTGGGGGGCTAGGTTGGCAGATGGAAGGGCCACTTTAAGGGACAGCGCTCCCTGAAAAGCAACAATTTCTGGTGCGATCATGCGCCGTGGCTTTGCATGCATCTGATTGCACCCTAAGACTGCCACATTGTCTTTTGACCCCAGTGGGTTTTTTTCTGGTTGTTTTTTAATTTTTTAAAAAATTCCCCCCTTCTTCTTAATATTTTGATGGAGTTCATGACACCTTCCATACAAAGAGCGATTATTACCCTCTTCTAAATGACTTTTCTGCCTCCCTGCCTAGATTTCTAGATGCCCAGGGATGGCATGCTAAGGAATAGCATATGAGCACAAACCCAAAAGGAAAACATATACGATGCGCCTTGGAGAGAATGAGGAAACGCCATTCGTAACACCAAGCAACTTTGTACACCCTTCCTGGGGGGAAAAAAACCTAGCAGATGCTCCTACTTCTTGCCAGAAGTAAATCACCAAGCCCAAATCACCTCCAAACACTCACGGTGGGGAGTTCCTAGAGCTTCCCCCCCCCCGCTAGAAAATATAAGGTACTGAACTTACTGAAGCGACGACAGCTCTAGAAAGGGCACCTTCTTGGCTGTCCTGCGGCTGTTCCACTCCTTCAGGCAGAAATACACCTCCTAAGCGCCTCAGCAGGGCCCTGGACAAAAAAGAAAGGAGGTGGGGGGAACACAATTTGTGTCAAGCAAACAGAGCTGGCGGGTGTGCCGCATGCACTCCCGAGCACACTGCTGGGGGGCGGAACCATGGGGGTGGGACACGCTTGAGTATGAGGTCCAGCTACGTTGCCCGTTCAATTACAGAAGGCCAGTATTCTCACCAGATAGGTTTTTAATATCCAGCTTTAACAACAGATGCCCTCATGCTTGATGTTCTATATCTTTTTAATGGCTTTCTAATGTTTTTATTTCTTTAAATTTGTTTTTAGGCACACGTTTTAATGTTTAATAGCTTTTTAATGGTGGCAGTATTTTGTTTTAAACTCCTGTTTGTTCTAACAACGTTGCAGCCGCCATGAATCCCGTCTCTGGGAGAACGGCTGTATTAACATGCAATAAAACAACACATTTAACACCATGCTTCCCCGAAAATAAGACAGGGTCTTATATTAATATTTGCTCCAAAAAAAGCGCATTAGGGCTTATTTATTATTATTATTTGTTTATTTATTTATTTTATTTATATCCCGCCTATCTAGTCAATTAAGACCACTCTAGGCGGCTATTTTCAGGGGATGTTTTATTTTTTTTCATGTACAACAATCTACATTTGTTCAAATATAGTCATGTCATCTTCTGGTTGCTGTACAATGGTGG